CAAGGGACATATGTAACAGTAACATTTTTATGATATACCTACCCAATAAAAGCTTTTTCAATTTTGTTATTTTGATAGGCATATTCCATTAATATATCCACAACAACCATGTTCCTTTTCTTCAGAATGCAGGAGAAGAGAATTATTAAAAATTACAGTCAATGCTTTTATACTCTTAATCTCTCCAAATTCACTTTACAATTGCTGTCAACATCAATAATGTCAGAAAGTACAATCAGGTTTGCACAAAACATCACAACATGGATATTCTCAAGAAGTAATTTTCTTTCCCTGCCCAGCAATGCAATTGTTTTGTTGAGGAGGTCTTTTCTATCACAAAGAGAATTCCAAATGCATGTGGGAAAGCCAGGTGCTGTGTGGTAGCCCTCTTGTGAGCTCCTTCATCCAAATCCATTCTCCTTACTGTACTTTGCGTTTCAGAGAACATTTGGTAAGTAATGTGTGGACTGGGTCTTCCAGAGATCCAATGGAGATTTTCTTTAAGAGAGGAGGGAGCTTAGGGTTCATTCTTACAGTTAAAGCTGGGAACCTGGCCTTTACTAGTTCTGATAGTTGGGGCAAAGACAAATTGAATCCTTTTGGAAATCTACATTTCCATTAAGGTTTTATGGGGGGGGGGGGGGGAAGCACATAATCTTCATGTATACTGACCTTACATCAAACTTATAGCTACTGATTTTGTCTTTAATTTTACTGGTAGAATTTGTTAGGTTCCTTTCAAGTCAAACTAAACACCCAGGGTTTGTTGCCAGTCTCCAGTGTGTTATTCTAGCAATTCTGAGCTGTCACACACAGGTAACTGAGATACAAGGGTATTTCTATCTAAAATCAAAAGTGATTGAAACTGGGAAATGACTTTTATGCTACAAATGTCTATGTGGGCTTCCAACAGTAAGTTAAGTAATGATTACTTAATAACACCAACTTTATATTGAACAGGGTACTTTCATCCTTTTATATTCTGGCATTTCCTAAACTCATTGCAAATATCTCTGATGGAGGAGACGCGTAGCAGAAAATGATTCCAATGTTTGAGCAATAATACAACATCAATTGCATAGATGCTCCATATTTTTAATGTGAGTGATGAACCCCTCATCCCAGCCCAGGCAGAGCCTCAAGCAGATAATCTGATTCCTTTTTTCTTAATGCCCAGTTTGTAAACTGCGTGATAGATACTTCACAAATATGCATATGGATATAGATCAAAAGGGTGACTGCACACGTTGACAGGACACTAATTAAATTGATCCACAGTTAATGATTTATCTATTCAGAGCTGTTAATTTTGCAAGCGATAAGATAGGCTGCCTTCCTTTTTTTTTTTTTAATTAAAGAGGTACTGGTACTGTCTATCTCCTCAAGACATTGAGTGCCACCTACTGTGCACTCGCTTCCTCTGAGCTGACAAGAATTCATAATGCTGTACGTGCACACAAAGAGAATATTCTGCTGTAGTACAAAAAATTGCTCCTCTGTCAGAGACAGTCTCTCAGTTTTGACCTGTGATGATGAGAAATAGTTTTATGGGGATCTCTTTCAAAGAGTGAGGGGCAAGAAAGGAGAATGCATGTAAATGCTTTTGGGGAATGTTGGTGACTGAGAAATAAGTGTTTTGTTACGAATTATCTGAAAAGGAAGTAGGTATGAGGAGGTTTGAAAGCAAATGCGTGTTCTTTATTTTTGTGAAAACTGTAATGGATGCATAAAAGTCTTTAAGTTGATTTCTTTTTTTTTTTTTCAAGTTAGTTTACCTCTTAGTAAAGCAATGGAAATGGTTCCTTTTAGACTGATGAAACCAAAACTATTCCCAAGGCCAGAGGAGTCCACAACAACGGGAACTGCACAGTTCCCTCTTAACTGTCTCTGGCTTAACTGGTTTAGATGAGAAAAGGATTTTTTTTAAGACTTCCTAGAACCGTACTCAGATAAATAAGAATATGGTTTCTTTACTTAGATTGGAACACTACACAAGTCCTCAGAAAGTGCACTTTCAGATCTTGATTTCTGTTGTTTAGAAAGGCTTTTGTAAGGCCAAAAGCAACAGCATCTTTCCTTCCTCTGTGACTGCCCACGTGCTGCTCTGAGTATTATTACATTTTATCGTAACATGCCTGAAATAACAAGAAGTAGGTCAAGAAATTGCCAGGTAAATGAGTTAATATATAAACCATTACTAAAATCAAGTGCTATACAACTGAGTATTTTCTATTTAACTTTGAGACAGTAGAGTCAGTAGAATGTGGTGACATTAATGATTACAGTTCTGAGATTTTGTTACCATGGTGTGTTTTTAAAAAGAAATCCTTTTAAGATGTAAATTAACTTTGTCTTAGAATTTTCCTCATCACACTCTCAGTCAAGCAGTAATCATTATTTATAGGCATTTTGTCAAAAAGATATGTTGAGCTGCTAGCACAACTCAGAGAACTTATTAAGTATTCCCATAACAGCTACCATCATCTTTATTTTGGCCCTAATGTAGAAGTATTCAATTTCTGCTGTGTCTTCTTGCATGTTCTGGCAGATACTTTAGTATTCAAAATTTTTTTGCAATGGTCTTAACATGAAGGCTGGTAATACTGGATTTGTCCCTGCCTTTGGACAGCCGGATTGCCAGGACAGTGCAAAGTGCCTGCAAGCTCTGCTTGCTCCATCCTTCAGATCTCAAACCAAGTATAGCTCAGCTGCTGGGGTAGAGTCCCTTTTATACACACAAACATTCATTAGAATTTGTTTCTGCAATAGCTACCAATGAAGACTGCAAGACAAACAGGCATTTCACCTAATTCTCCAGATTCATCTCTGTCTTCTGGGTTTGATCTAACTTGGGTTTTTAGAGGCAGCCAGCAGCAGACTGGGCTATTTTCTGAAATCAGATTGCTTTCTAAGGAAAAGGAGCTGGGAATAAAGTCTGTGAGGCCTTGGGGCAAGACCAGAATAGAGATGCTGGGCAAGCATTTCTGGGTTGGGTGAAGAACTGTTGAATAGATGAGATCAGGGAGCTGGCAAAAGGGAAAAAGAGCAGGTGAAAACATGCTTTAAGTGGGCACTCGTGATTGTAAATCTACAGTGAAATCGGTGTTCCCAAATACACAAAGTTGAATTTTCCATTGGGGAATATTGTGTAAAGTACCCATACAATAGTCCCTGGAAGGCAGACAACAGATGTTATGGCTACAGAACAAAGATGCTATTACTGTAAAGAGTAACCATTTTGTGCTTTCTGAAGTGAAAGACGATTGTCAATAAATTAAAGTCAGAATTCATAGTAGAGCACAAGGAAGTCAGACACTCAAATGCCACTGAACTTCATATAAGCAGGTGAGTGCCTACATCCTTTAGGCTCCTCTTGTAAACCCTTCCCTGAAATTATGTATCTGTCCTATAAATAGAAAAATCTAATAGATTGAAAGAAAGGTTTGCAATAAAGTATGGATCCATCCTAAATCCTTTGTTCGTGAGCTGATGATCAATATGTATTAAATATACAAAGCTCTAATGTTTAGCGCGTCACTTTGACATTGAACTGTTTTTACTTCTTAATTTAACTTTGTCTTTTTTTGTTGCCAACTATTTAGATCAGCTCTTCTCTGAAGTAAGAAAAATAACTTTGTTAATTCTATGGTTGTTGGCTCAGTCTGTAGGCAAGGTTTGTAAATCTGCATCTTTTTGCTTACAGGCAAATCCCTCCTGTAGAAGAGTTGCAAAGTTTTCTGCATAGACATTTGAAGTACATCTTGAGCTTCTAACCTCACACTGCAGTGAAATTTAGAAAATGAACTGGAGTTGTTTTTGTTTTTAGCTAAATTTCAGCTTTTCAGCCTTCAGATGCGAGTTACACCCAAATTTATTTTTGTTTATTCCTGTTTAGATTTCAAGAAATACTGCTTGATACTGCCATGTTTAAGAATGTCTGAGTAAGAAACTGCCAAGGTTCTTCATTCTGTCTCGATTTTTATAGTCCAAGCCTTTTCAACTTCTGATGGCACCGCAAAATTTTAGTTTCTTTTTCCAAACTCTGTGAGGTTGTCTCCTTTTAAATGTATATTTCCCCAAATATCCTCTTTCAGCAAGACCTATAGTTCCTCCTGTGTAGTGACAGCTGCTGTAAACAGCATGTCCTGGTCACAGGCATGGATGTTCTGATCAAGGAATGTATGGAGCCTCATTCTCTCAGTTTGATTCATTTGAGTACTCTGGCTTTACTAGAATCACTCCTGATTTACCCTAAAATAACAGAAAGATCAGGCACTAGCATGAGAAATCCTTTCCAGTGTAGGTAGAAATAAGAACTCACTTGTCACTACTGCTTTCAAATGAATTTCTAAATGAAAATACCTTTTATACTGTCAGTAATGTAACGCAGAGATGACAGGTTCTGTTGGTTTTCCATCAGTTACAGTCTGTGTCAGCAGCTTTTCAGGATCTGAAATACACTTTGGTTCCTATACTAAAAGCCCATTTTTTATGTTGGCTTTTTCCTAGGAGCAATGGTGAGTGCTTGTGCCTTGTAATACATTTGCTGTTCTTTTTTCATATAGAAATCTGCAATGTGTTCTTAGAAAAATGTGTTGGTAAGGTTTCCACAATCAGCTTCAATTCTTTTGTGTCTGTCCTAAATGCAGTTCAATTAGATAGGTTGATGGTGTTTTTATCGATCTAAACCAAATTCTTGGCAAGACGTCAGGCTGACCTGGGTGAGTTTGTGTTTTATGGTAGCCTTTGCTATAGCTAATATTTCCTAAACTACATGTTTAAAAATCGAAATGTGTTTTTTCAAATGTAAGGCTCCTGTTTTGGGGTAGATAGAGGCTATTTTGTGCAGGAAGCAAATATTACAGGGTAAAATCCACAGAAATTCTGCAAAATATGTTGGAATCTTTTTCAAAAGTTCAGGTTCTGTGTCTGACTGTTACTGCTTTCATTGTGGGAACATCTTGGAACCATAATTTAAAGACTAAAATATCTTCTTTCAGGTACTACAACGAAATAAAAGATGACAACAGCCCATACAATATTTATACTACAATTCATTGATGTTTAACAGAGATCAGGAAGGAAGGTCCAACCACTGCACAGTTCTGGAAGAAATAGGTATGCTTAATATTTTTCTTCTCTTTCTCACAATATGCTCATTTCTTATAATCCTGGGCATTTTACTTTTATCTGTTCCTTGGAGCTAATTCAGAACTTACAAATGTGCTGCTTGCCTTGCCTGCAGAGCTGAGCTGTTGCAGCTCCCAGCTGATGTGCAGCAGCATTACTAACCCAGCTCCCTTTAAGGAGGGGCTTGGTAAATGGCTAGGAAAATGAGATGAATTTGGAGACCATCAAGATCATTTTCAGCAGAATTTGACCCAAGGTCTGTGGAGAGTTACTTGTTTAATTGTGTTTCTTCATGATTTCATTTTTGGACAATATCCTGAGAGCAACAGCCATCATATTCCAAGTTAATAAATTTCATACTAATCCCAAGGACACTGTTATTGTAAAGTAATACGCTAAAGACTTGACACTATCAAATGTCTCCTTGAACCACGATGTGGGCATTTAAAAATGTTGAAGGAAGAGGAAGAAACTATTCTCTCCCTGATTTTGTTCTTCTCTGAAGTATCAATTACTGCAGTGTGCAAAGCACCTTCATTTCTAATGAACTGTATAGGTTTGAATACTGAAAATACATTTTAGAGTACGTAAATTGCTTATGAGGGAAGTTGGTATTCAAAGCCAGCTGCAAGGGTAAGTCCTCTTTTTGTGATTATAAATGGTCATTTGTGGTGTGAATGGATCTCCTATATGCACTACGATTTTAGAAACTAAGACCTTTTGAAAACTGAATGGAATGAAATGAGCTGCACAAAATATAAACAAATACAGATAGAAAAAAGTGTAGACATTTCTTACCAGACATTGTTACTATCTCTTTTCTGAAACAAACAGTAATCGAACTTATCTAATGTACATAAACTAATGTGAAAGAAAGATCCACAAATATCTGTTCAAGGTTTTCATATTTGTCTCCTCATCTTCCTTTTTTTGAGTATTTCTGCATAGCTGTTAAACAGCACTTTCCTTGCAAGATGCTGATGTGGAAGTCTTAAGAAAAAAAACTTTTTCCCAGTGACCACATCAAAATATGAATCCTAAAGGGCCTTTTTCATTTTCCCTTTTTGCTACTGGAAGGTCCATAACTGGCTTAGGTATGCCATCTTCAGGATATCTGCAGAACTATTTTTATGCAGAAAAAGCTTCTATTGAGAAACATTAGTAATTATCAGTGCTCTGGAATAATTTGCTAATTGCTTCCCAGAAGTAATTTTCTTTCTTATTTTATAGAATTTAGAACAAAGCAAAAAGTTCTGAATTATTAATAACATATCATATTTAGCATTTATGAATAATCAGTAGGTTGCACCAAAAGGTCTTTGTATGTGTGGTCCCAACAGGCAAAGAAGAAATATAGAAACATATCCTTCAGAGTAAGACATGCTTTGTGAGCCTGAGACTCAGTTCACTACCCATAAGGCAACAGGGAAAGCAAGGCTCCTACCCCCAAGACTTCAAGCAAATCAAAGCAGGCACCTGAAATGCTAGATATTGGAGTTTTTCAAGTGTCTTCTCTTTCTTGAGAAATATACCACTTCCTAAGAATCACATCTTCAGGCTAGAGTGAAGTAATTACAGCAAATATGCATTATCTTATTCTAAACATCAAGAAATTGTCAGGTCAGCTTGCTGTGTTTTGCTGGCAGGGCAGGAACACTGAGGTTTCCATTTCAAACTCTTCTCATCAGTTTTGAAAAGCATTAAATAATGGGCATGGAGATGGCAGAAAAGGCACAAGGATGTGGTGGTGCAGCAGCCATATCCCTGTTCTCTGTGTCCTCTGGCTTTTCCCCAAGCAGCAGCTTTCCAAATGCAATTACAGAATAAGATGGAAAACCACGTTAGAATGGCGTAATTCTCTCTCTATTCTCAGAGTTCAGCAGCTTAGCATGTCAGTTAACAAAGGAAATGTCCATTTTCATTTTCTGCAAAGGTAAATAGTGGCTTTTGAACTGAGTTGAGAAACTTTTCCAGTACTACAGGTGCTCTATCAGTTCCCTCCTTCCTCTCAGCAGACAGGTAGAGGAGCCCCTAGCCAGGCCCTCTTTATGAAATATCAATCCAACGTTCTATTACTAAGCATACATGTGAAGCACAACAACTCCTAAGGCTTTACTGAAAGTGACAAATTGTGGCCCACCCAGCATGTGGCTTACTCTTCACTCATAAAAACTCTTCTCACTCGCTTGTCTTTTAAATTACTTCTTTTAATAGCTTAATTGGGATAAATGTGTCCTTCAGAAGGGAGAGATGATCCTAAAATGGCTCAGAAAAGGCTCAATTACAATTCATACTCCTTCTCAGCAGAACAGAGGAAATAGCAGGCAGGGAATACGTTTTATTTTTGAGACAAAAAGATTTCATAGATTTCATTACTAATGTGCTGACACGCACTCTCTATAGGGTCTTCCTGTGATCAGTCTCTCTTGTTTCCTTTTAAACTGGGAGGCAGAACCTCAGCTCCGGTGTGATTAATTTCCCCTTTCCTGATTATATGTCATTTACTTTTAAGTAAGGTTTTTATAAATGAGGCACAACAAAGACAAAGATGAAGATTGTGCGGAGATAAACATTTGTGCTGCTGGGACTCCCACTGACTTGGGCACAGCGGGGGCCAAAAGTAATGGGGATTCACAGGCATGGTGATTAGACCTCTCACTGCGAACAGGTAATTGAAACATCGTAGCCCATCACCAGCATTTAGGAGGTACTGTGAAGATACTTGGTTTAAAGCACACTCAATAGAGGCTTCTTACACAAAGCACAAGCTCAGGCCATCAGTACTATATATTTTTGTTTGCATGCACAGCACTCCTGTGATGCCACCCTGGCACTGACCCCTGAAGAAGGGCAATTTTCTGCTGAGATTTCTGTAGTCAATGCATGAGCTGTCTGCTGGGCACTGGGGGGGCACGAGCAAAGGGGCACAAGCAAAGGGGCCTTGAGATGATCTCATGGAATGTTTTGGTGTTTGTAAGCATGACATGCTGTAGGCTCAACAGAACTTGTATGGAAGATATGCTATAGAGCCACAACAAAAGTCTACATGAACACTACACACACACAAACAATACTTTCATAATTATTTTTAATCTTGCATAATTTTCAGTGGAAATAGCAGAACACAGCTCTAATCTTACCACTGTGGTTCCACTTTGCAGCCATCTTGCTTGGCACTGCTTTGGATTTAAAGTTTTCCATTCAGAATGATGTGTACAGGGCTGTTCGCTTAAATTAGTGGTTTACTGTGTAAAGAGATCTTGCTGCTGGCTTTTAGGGAAACTTAGCTGACTTCTATTCAACTCTATTCTCCAATCACGTTTGACTGAAGTTTCTAGCCATGTATTATTAGTGAATAACATCTTACAAAAGTGTAATTTATTGTCTAAGTAAACTTTGGAGCAAAAGAACAGTGCCTTTGATACAGACTTAGTGTGTGCCTCAAGAGGAACCTTTCTGTTTTAGCACAGAAGTGGAACAGAGCAAAAGTAACACTGTGACTAATTGCACTTCTTATGCATTTCTTACCTGAGGGCAGAACACTTTTTTCTTTCCTCATTTGTGTTTTGTAGCACCAATAGTCCCCATGCTGTAACTGCTGTCAAACTCGTACCAACCATGCTACTTAAAAGTAACACATCTGTGGGTCTCATATAGTGAAAATTCATACCATCCCTTCTTTACAATGCTACTTGCTATATCAGTGATGCCATACCTTCAACTTCGCAGCATGTTTACAGTGATGTAATAACGCCAACAGCCGCTAGATGCCGGCACGAGCATGCTAGCACTAAACGTGTGCCTGTTTCATAGTTCGGATGCCATTTACCTTTTATTATGGTTCTTTCTTTCTTACGCACCCCCCAAAAGGTTTTCTGCTTTACTAAATCCATAGCAATGTAACTGCTCTAAAACCAATGTCTTCTGGTACAGAAAAAAAGCTATTATTTAGGGATGCTCTCAGAGCAGCTGTTGTTTCTTCCAGAAGCTATCTGAAATTCAGGGATGAGAAAGTAGTGAAAGAACAAAGAGCTCCAGTTCTGCCCAGCTGAAAGGGAGAACCTTTCAGGCAATCTGTTCTTTCACATGCCAGACTGAAGGGCAGAAACCAGAACTGGGAGGCTGTTCTGAGGGGTTTATTAACATGACTTGTAACAGGGGAGGAAAAAAAAAATCAATAGCTGTAGTTGCACTGCATTACAGCTATTCCAGAAGAAAACCAAATCTTCCTCCATTGTCAGATGGAACAGAAAAATGAAAATGAACAGATTATTATGTAGAACTTAGATGGCTCAAAGCAAAGCTCAGCGCTTTGGTGTTCATCTATGAGGATTTGTAGATATGGATGGGGCTGTATCATCTGTTTTTGTTTTGTTTTGTTTTTCTGATTATCATTTTCTTGTATGATTGCCCACAGAGGACCCTTGAAATGCTTAAAAATTACAAAAATAGTAAAGCAAAGGGACTTTCAGAAATAGGAAATCCCATTTTTTTTCTCTGAATTTCTGTCCGTTTCCTCCTTGATTAGTCTGAGCTGAATGTATGAACACACAGTGTGAAAATATTTAAAATGCATTCATCCACCTATATTATCAATACAGGAATGTGGCTAAAAAGTACCTCTGCAAGCACTTACCTGTATGCCTTTGCTGTCTAACTGAAATTATAACAGAGAATATGAATTGTATTGATCAGTGCATTCTAAACATGAAAACTGATTATATTTACATCCATTTGGTGCCTTAAGGGCACTATTATAGAAGTGACTGCCACGTGGAGTAGAAGCAGTTATTTTTTAACCAGCTGGTTTGATCAGCAGCAGGAACATGGCTGAGGTCCCTGAGTGAAGAGTTCATGCTGCAGTGAAGGAATTTTCTACAAAAAAGAATTCAGAAGTGCCATCTTGTGGGTAATGAAAAAACTACAGCTAAGTAACCAGTAGGCAGCATCTCATTTTTAATATAGTTAACAGGCAGTAACCTTAAATTACAAGATCACTTTCCAATGAAATTTTCAGCAAAAATAACCACAAAAGCTTTGAATAAAAAAGAACAAATGATTACCAACATCAAAACCTGGACTCCAAAAAACTGGCCTGTTTTAATTATTTTTCTTGAGGAAACCCAATAATAATTCCAGTGGGAGCAATAAAGAAAAGACTGAATGTTTCAAAACAAGGGCAAAAAAAAAAAAAAAAGAGTACATTACAGGCAGTTTCACACTATAGAATTGATAACTATATCAATTCCAAAGAAAGTATCACATACCCACTTAAATAAGTCAGCCAAACTATTCTGAACCTTCTAATAAATTCCTTTAAATGAGAAATACAAAAGTTACCTCAGTCAACAGTAAGTGACACACAAGAAAGGACAGAAGAATAATAAGATTGCAGCATAATTAAGAAGGATGAAGTCAAGACATTTTAGTTCAGGGATATAAGCATAGTTATCCTGTGCAGCATTATTCCCCTCTTCCATCACATTGCACAGGTCAGAAGCAGATGACAGAAGGGTGTTGGTAGCACATGTGCAACAGAACTGCAGCCACAGCATCCTGGAAGAGGTGCTCATGGGAGGTAAGAGCTCCTGCTTCTGGCCACCTGTTTTATGCTAAACTCAACTTAGAAAAAGTACTGCTGAATCTTTTGGCCTCTTTGAGAAGTACTGTAATTCCAGTACACCGAATTTGTACCAGCAAAGGTAATCTCCCATTTGCAAAGAGAAATGCAATCCACTTCACCAACAAGTGGCCATGCCGTGATTCAGCATGCTGAACCAGCAGCAGGGACTGATTGAACACTTCCTTTCCAGGCTCTTTCACTCACAGTGCCTCTTTTCCCAGTATTGCATGCTTTGCTCACACAGTAACAATCCCTGTTTGAAGCATAACTTCTAAGTGAGCAACTGCTGAAGCTTTATGTCTGTGTAGATAACAAAATGAAGATCTGAAGGTATGGTGCAGAAACATCAGAACCAGCGCCTTCAATTGTAAGCTACCACAGGCTGTGTAGGAGTGCAAAGGGGTGAAACCATGGCTGACCACAGTATTTGACTAAAGAGATGAAAGTAATGGAGGAAAAAAGTGTCTTGAGAGCAAAACAGATTTGTTTTAAAATCCTTTCCATTATACATTAAAAATACTACATAGCAGTGCTATGGAAAACCATTCATACGTATTGGAGCAAAACTGTTGGGTTACATCTTTGTAACCAAGTAATTTCATTGAGAACAAGAGCTGTTCCTAGCTCATACTTGTGTAACTGAAGTAGATTCTGAGTATTTATTTAAAATGCAACCTGAGGCTATTAGTTTTGTAATAAACCTTCAAAATATCTAGGAAAAAAACCCACTCAATTTAAATATCTCAAATCACTTCTTCAAGAAGCATCTTCAGTGCTAAAAACACATAAACATAAGAACATATTGCTAAATACAGTGAAAATACAGAAATAGCCACACAAACACTATGCTATGGAAATATTTTAATTCCAAATGGAATGTATTTCATGAAATAAACATTTCTGCTATATTCTGTTTCTGAAGAGAATGCCCATTAATACAAAATCAAAGAAAGATAAACCATAGTCTTCTTTATAGAGGGAGTTCTTTTCAGCTACAGGTCCAGAACACAGACAAGCTAAAATGGAAGCAAAACCGGTGCTGGATCAATTCCAACACTTGCAGATCTCCCATTTAAATAATTATTTTTGAGGTAAAAATCAGAATTTCTATTTCTGTATGCAAACAAAGTAGACTTTACTGTATAATTATCAAATCAGTGAACAAGAACTATTATGTGAGATAAACTTTGTTTGTCCAGACCACAGCCAATGAGTGATGAACAAATATTCAATTTATTTTCAATGTCATCACTACTTCTGCCTATTAAATTTTTAGAAAGTCTCCAGCAATAGATTTGCATTAGGTGTGCATTAGACCACAAGCAATACATTAAAACAGAATTTTCTAATTCCTAGGTCTGCAAGGAAAAAAAATTCTCTGCCAGTTGAGTTTGCTCTGGTCAGAACTGACTGAAACACTGTTTGTTCTTTAAGAAGTTATCATGCAAAACGTGCGTGTATCTTCATGCTCTCCTTGTAACCTGAGGAAGCACCAATATAAAGCAACATATCAGAGGAAATTTTGCATACGCTAATTAATATTCAGCGTTATAATAATACACTAAACTAATTACTGCATCTACGAAGATGTGTTTAAAAAATCTGCCATTCTGATCCTGCTCACCTTGCTTTTGGAGCTTACAACAGTGTGCTAAAATAGTGTACTAAAATCGTGCTCATCAGCAAGAGCAATCCGACTGTTCCTAATCTTAATGTAAATCAGTAAAACTGCTAATGAAGGCTCATAGAATTTGGCAAAAGCTTGAAATCCCAGCACTGGATGCAAAACCCTTTCCATCTAAAGCAGCTGAAATACAGGAAGAGTCTGGAACAAAACAAAAGGATAAAACTGTAACACAAGCATGTGCTAATGCTCTGCAGCTGCTGGTATTTGAATGCCATCCTGTAAGTTTCTCCACACCTCTGACAGCCAACTTATATGATCTTTGAGGACATGAGATTAAGTTCCACTTTAATTGCATAGCACAGAATGTAGAAGCAACTACCATTTACTTTAACTGTATCCTAACAAATACTGCATATGGAAACATAATACTGTATATTAAAATTGTTTCTTTCATCAATTTAAAATTTCACATTTGGTCTCCAGTAACTAGGAAAAAGCCACTAAAAATATTTCTTAAGTCTATTCCTGAGCATTGTTTTTGTGTAAAATACTCTGGTTTATTACTACATTTATCAGTATTCTCACATTTTAAGCTATATATAAATCCATGCTTGGAAATTTTACAAAGCTGAAGACCTAGTAGACACAATGAAAGAACAGAAACAGCTAAGCATCTTAAGACCAAGAGAGATGAGATCACCAAGACAAGTGCAGTTTAACTATGTACATAGTATATTCTTTAGTAACTGATGGTTTCTCACTAGCTATAGGAATGAGAAGGATCCACTTGTAAAAATCCAGTCTGTCAGACCTCAGCTTACTTCTCATCAACAGTTCACTGTGACAGGTGGCTGAGGATGAACAAATGGTGTTCAGTATTTCATTTAAAAATCAAACTTCAAAACAATTTCTAGATTTTCAACAAAATAGTGTCCCCAGCTAAGAGCTGAACTGACACTTGAATACTCGCTGAATTACTTTCATATTCTCCTGTATCCCAGACACAAGAAGAATCAGAGGGTCTAAGGACAGAACTCAACTCTGGCTGAACAATTTTATGGTATTTCCCCATGCCACTTGTCTAAATCTTCAGATAAGAAGCAAATCAAACTGATACAGGCTGGGCCATGGAATAGAGAATAGTCATTACAGGTGGCTAAGAATAGGTATTTTTGTATCAAAATATATCTTTGCTTGAACTTACATTGGTCTTCAAGCTCATCCCCTAAGAGTCTATTTTCTGGATTTTGAGAGCTTACCAGTTTTGAACATTAGGTCACAGATTGTGCAGTAATATTTTCATTTGGCATTAGTCATCAATATCCACGTGCAATTTGAAATATTCAAGGTTTACAAAATGAACATGAAGGAACGCTGTCTGTAAACAGTGAAGTTTTCTGGGTATAAAAATATGCATTTGATTTTATTAATCTGCCACTATTGAAGCTGTCTGCTCTCTAACAAATGTCTGTCTTTAAAAAAATCCTTTTAGTATTAAAATATTCCAGTACATTATCTCCATTCTTCTTCCTAGCAAAAAAACCACATCCAATTCATCCAAAAATTCATCATCTCCTATGAAGAATTAGTTTCACTTTGCATAGATAAGCTGCTCCATTATTTTATAAAAACAATTGAGCCCTTTCCCATCAGAACAAAACACTGTGAAACCTGTCACAAAATAACATCTCTTTTAAAGAGCTCAGATCCTATTCTCTCAAATGCACAAAAAGGAGTGCAGAAGAAACACTACAGACTTCAGCAAACTTCAATTGGTGCAAATAGGAGGACATTATATAACTGTGTATATCTCTAAACTTTCATACTCTTGAGCAATTGTCAATATGCTGAAGGAAAGACCAATGGAAGACTTGCCTTCAGGGAAAAGATTTCCTGCTGGCCTTGCTGGCTTAAGATCAAATGTATTGAAATGAACAGTGCTGACTTAGAAGTATGAATCAAGAACATATTTTCTCAGGATCTTCCTACGAAGATAACATGACCCTTCTGCATTGGCCAAACACTTTCTAGCAGTCAAGAAACATCAACTAATAAACTTTTCACTTAAATTTCTGTGATGTCTGCTTTGTGCCATTTGTTTTTATTTTTCTGTCCCCGGCTGATTTTTTAGAAGGAACGTAATTGTTAGCATTGCCATTTTTCTTTGTGTTTGTACATGCATATGTTTTTAAGCCTTTGATAGGAGCAGCTGAACCATGAAATGCTGGTGCTTGCTTAGGGGGTCTGATATTACCAACACTTTGAATTTTAGAATTGCTCTCAGATGGCTGCATATTGAGAAGCTGTTGCTTTGCAGTTGTTTTTTTCAGTTCATTTCTTACTTCACCAGACTGTCTCTGAGAAGACATTGCATGTCCCATTCTTTCAGATAGTTTCAAGTGCCCTGGATGTGAATAAAACCGTTGACTTTCTTCACAGCATGGATCTACCCTGTGACCTGAATAGCACGTGGGGAGTTTTGTAACAGTTTCCTGGGGAACCATTTGTTTGTTAGGCAAAGGGCTAAGCGATGCTTTGCATTTGCCAGGGCTTTTTAGGGTACGTACAGAGCTGGGAGCAGTCTGTGGTCTGGCTTTGGCTGCCTTTGCTTTCTCATTCTGTACAGTCTGCATTTGCAGCCACTCCAGCTGCAAAAGACGATCAATGTATTTTTCAAGAAATCCGGTTGGCTTTGGTCGAAGCTCAGATCTACCTTCTACATTAACAAAGATGGCCAGTTGCTTCAAGTCCCATGAGTTAAAAGGGGGTGGCAGGAAGTCTGGGTAGTAAAATTCTGAGTCTTTAAAACCCATATCAGGCACACGTTCCAAACAAACTGGATCAATTTCTTCAGCTCTGAGTATGAGTTCTGGTGGTGTGCAGGGAGATGGAGGAATGGGAATCCTTTCTGAATCAGAGAGATCACTGGCACTATCATCTTCAGCATCTTCTTTAATAATTTGTACCGATTCAAAATCAAGAAACATTTCGTTCACAGATGCTTCTTGCCATTTAGAGGAGCACGGACCAGCTTCAGCAGCATGTTCTTCATGATTCTTTTCCAACTGTTCTTTTTTACTGCAATAAAAATGTTGCACTTGGACACCTTTAACTTTACAGAAGCTACCTTGTGTGCTGCCTTTTGTGGCAGGAGGGATCCTGTGCACTAAAGATTCACTTTGCCTTGTTTCTGGGAGACTCCTCTTTGACCTTTCAACTCTGGGCAGAGATGTGCAAACACTTGTGATTCTAAACAAAAAGAAATATCACATCCTGTTAGAATGGTTAAAGTCTTTGGAACGCCAGCTTACAAACTTTTGATTTCCCCCTTAAGGATTTGGATATACATGAATTGAGGTAAAATTTGCATGGAAACAGCAAATCAGTACAGAATACTATCTAGCCTTGAATTTTTGCTTTATTTCATTCCAATTTTGCCTGAGATCCAGTATAGCAAGATTCCATATTGATAATTTAAACTCAAAATTATCCTCAAAAATGCTGACTTTTGAGTGCAGTGACCTCAAAGGCAACACAATGAAGCCAAGAATTCATCACAAGCATTTAAATGCCAGCTTGAACTGTGTACAAATTAAACAGACAATCTTTAAATAGAATTACTGTTTTGACTGAGTACTGTCATCTAATTGGTTCCTCCCCTTCTTAAAAACACTTCGTTGGTTATCGTCTTGAGTGTCACAGGAAGTCTGAAAAGGTAAGAAAATAATGTGATGTTATTACAAAAGCTAACATAAACTTTGTATCCTTTTTCTATAAAAGAACTGGTATGATTTACCTTTTCATTGGTAGTTGGCACATTTTTGCATAATCTTCCAGGAGATTTCACATGAGAAATTGATTTCTTTACTCCTTTGGTGCTTGGGTGGCTTTTTCCATTACTGTAAGTAGCAAGGATTAAACACAGTATCACACATTAATAGAAATGTTTATGATAATCAGAATAGAAATTCAATAAAAGTTTACCATTAAGTTTCAAGAAGAGAGAGTTGGTTGCAAACAGTCTTAATATTCATAGTAACTATGCTTTTTTTATCCAGCTACTATAATACTACATTTTTAATACTATTACTGCAAAATGCATAATTAAATTAGAAAATATATTAAGAGAACTTAGCCTTCATAAAGAAACTTCCATCAGAGGATCCCAAAGTTCCTTTGCAGATAATAAATAGTAAATATTAATTATTAATTGAGCTACCATGGAATACTCATGGTCCCAGTGCATTTTAACAAAATTAATTATACAGTACAATATGAATGCCATAATCAATCTTGCTTCCCTTTTTCAATTGCACAGTCTCAACAAAACTTTAACCATTATTCTTTATTATTTAAAAAGATATTTTTTTAATCAAATCAAGAGTTTATAAAGGAGTGAAGACAAGTTTTGTGCCTTCAGAAGTGCTGCAGTCACCTCTGTCACTTTGTGACCTGCACGGTCATACCACACAATCATTTGTGTTGATGTGGATTGGAGGATGAGAATTTGAACTGCGCAGTCATGCACTTATTACATCTTCTATAGTACTTTCTATAACTAGAAAGAAAGAAAATAATTTCCTTACTTTACCATTCCTTTGTGGTTTTCATTGATTTGGCTTTCCTTTTTCTGTGCCTTTCGGTGCAGTAATAACGGATGTTCTTGAATGCCCGGTCCCATTATTACTCTTTTAAAGTGGTATTTACATCTTTATCTTTACATAATCTTCCAATGACTCCATTCTTTCTGGTCCACACAGCACAGCGTGCCAAACGCAAACATCACCACGTCCTGGACACGCAGAGAACAAAAACCACACAATGTAATTATTAAAGCAGTACAATAAACATTAATTAGCTACCAAACGGCACTGGGATGCACCATCCCATCCCTCAGCAGTCACATATTCACCTCACCAAGGCCGCACACAGCCAGTGCTCAGCACCAGCAGCAAGTTGGCTGCACAGAGCCGTGCTCAGCGTCAGCTGCAGAGATGCAGCCACTCTGCAGACAGCACACAGCCCTGCAGTGAGATGAGCTGGGCCAGCACCACTCAGCCCATCCAGCACACACCACACGGTCTGCAGGACTGTTGGTAAAGATACAGAAAAACATGATGAGGTGCAGCAGCGTTAGGAGAGCTACTTTTCACCGTGCAGTGAGCTCTTCATGTTGTCCTGCCCGCACCAAGGATCGGTCAAACAGGGATGGGTGTTTCTGCTCATAACTGAACGTTGATCACTGCCTGCTTTGGGTGCATGGAGTTGCCCTTTCTGTGCCAGAAAATGTGCTCGTGGCACATTCATATTCGTAAGTGTACCCAATGCTTCACTTTTCTCCCAAACCAAGCCTCTCACTGCTCATCCATCCCACTAAAAATAGCCACAGCAGAGCACACAGCATTCCTTCATTTTCCAGAAGCCGCACTCCCCTCCCGGGGCTGCACAGTTCCTACGATGTGACAGATGCTCTGCACCAGATCACCTTTCTACACCCACCCTCAGTTTTTTTGCAGTTCTATAGATAGATTTATTGCTTATATGCGTTACTGGATACTACTGACGTTTATCTGACACAGTCCCGTTTCTTACTGCCTCTCCTCTTCTCAGGACAAAGCCCTGCAGGGCACGATGTCCCATCGATTCGGATCTCCGGAGTTCGGACCCGCGCGGTCCCGCGAGCACCGCCTGCAGCCCCGCACAGTCCTGCCCCGGAGACGCAACAGCTCACAGCTCCTGCTACAGAACGGCCCTACAGACTGATGATGATCTCATGCTTCGTTATTTAACCTTCTCGATTTCCCCCTTCGGTCCCCCCAACCCCTCAGCGCTACCGCCTCCCAGCCCGCCTGTACCTGCCTCCGTTGCAGCCTCCGCCGGCATTAAGGGCACCCGGAGGGCAGCGACGTCAGGCAGGCACTGCGCATGCGCCTGGGGCGGTGCTTATTGGCCGTTCAGTTTGATAGACAGGGAGGCGCGGCGTGGGCGGGAATGCTGCGGTTCCGCGCACGCGCCGTCGGGCGGACTGGAAGCGAGGGGTCTGTGCTGAGGGGAGCGCGGTACGGCCGGCCCGGTGCCTGTGCTCTGCCTGCAGCTGGGCACTGATGTGGGCTGTGCAGACCCCGGCCGCCGATTCCTCCCCTTCCAGTCACAGTACTGAGTCCGCCTCCCCGGCCCCGCCCGACAGTCTCCTCACGCCCTCCAGCCTGTGCGGCAGCCTCAGCTCCGGTTCGCTCCCGCCCGATAGCCTCCAAGCCTTCCCCGGCCTCGACAGCGGCCGCGAGTCGCCCAGCATCCAGTGCGACAGCCTCGAGTGTCCCGGGTGCCGCTGCGGGAGCCTGGGCTCGGTAAGCCCCTGCGAGGACAGCCTGCAGACCCGGCTGGCGGCGTGTAATGGTCCGGGGTGCTTCGGGGTGCACCGCTGCAGCCCTCACGTGCCCCGCGACCTCAGTGATAGCCTGGAGTCCTTCGGCGCCCAACACGACAGCCTCCAGTCCGTCCCCAGCCTGCGCGAGAGTCTGCGGTCCTCCAGCATCGCGGGTGACAGTCTTGAATCTCTTTCTAGCCTGAGCAACGGGTCCACCAGCCTCGAGTTCACCAGCCACTGAGCCTGCCTTCAGCTTCTCCATACAACACTCCGGGCTCTGCTTTGCCCCTAGCTGCTGTGAGAGCTGCCAGTGTTCTGCATTTCCTCGCAGAAGGCTATGTTGTTCCAGCTTACTCTTCTATATCCAGGGCAGTAACCTCAAATCCTCGCTGTCCGTGGCTCTTTCCCAGTTTACATCAGAGAGGCAGTGCTCCCAGCAGTGTTAACGTCAGCGCTGCCATCAGTGAAGAATGGAGGTGCGCGGTCCTCGGAGGAATCGCAGATACCTGTCTGATCTCTATGAGAACATGCTGCGGGCTCAAGACACAGCAGGACGAGGACAGGAGCAGCCCTCAATGGTACGTCCGAGCAGCAGCCCATGTCTTGTGAGCCGTGCCCCAGTCAAGGTGGTGGCCCAGCCTCATCAGCCGCAGAGCAGCACTTCCAGCAGCTGTGATCCAGCACTGCGGCCTATCATCCGCCGCCGAGCAAGGTCTTTGCCTACAACACCTGAAAGAAGGAAGCGAGTGCAGTGTCAAGCTCCTGTGTGCCAGAGTCGCATGAACAAGGTGAGATTTGCTGATGCTCTGGGCTTGGAGCTGACTGAAGTCAAAGTCTTCCAGAAAGGGGAGGATCCTTCAATTCCCCTACATGTCCTTTCCAGGCTCTCCATAAATTCAGACCTCTGGTACAGCAACTTGGAGTTTACCATGCAGTGCTTAGTCCCTGATTTCCAGCAGCCTGCAGACTGCATGGATTTCTCTGCCCGACTTCAGGAGCAGCAGGTGTGTCTTGAACGAGTGACTAGTTCAGATCTGGGGGTCAGTGGCACCATCCAAGTTTGCAACATTGCTTTTGAGAAGCAAGTGTCTGTGCGATACACCTTCAACCAGTGGAAAAGTCTCCATGAAGTATGTGCTCATTGGCACAGTAGCATCTCTGAGAAAAACGGGCAGGATCAAGTTGATGTTTTCACATTTTTTCTCCCTGTGCCTTCTTTCCTCCTTCAGCTGTGCTCTGTAGTCCAGTTTGCAGCAAGATATCAAGTCAATGGGCGGGAATATTGGGATAACAACAAAGGCAAAAACTACAGCCTCACTTGCCGGACTCACCCCCTCAAGATGCCTAGAGAATGCGAGGAGAGCTGGATCCACTTCATCTGAATGAAGGAAAGTGGATGCAGAACAGCTTTGCAGTAGTCTCAACGGCCCTTTCTTGCGTGGCATTGCTCTGTGCTCCTTTTTGAAGCCTACCAAACCTGGCAGAGTTTCACAGCAGGCAGGTAGCCAATGAACCGGACGTACTGTTCTAAACCTCTGAAAGTGTTAAGGGCCAAAATGTGTAGAGCTACATCTGCTGAAAGCCTGGGTGGTTTCTTGTAATGAAAATAATAATAATAAAAAATCAAGGCAGAATGGTTCAAAGGGATTCTCTCAGGCTATTTAGAAGAGATCAAGAGAAGACACTTTATGTTGCTAGCAATATTCTAGATCGCATTGAGTATTTCTAACAGATCTATTTTACTATTTTGTACTGTCTGTTTTTTAAATGGGCAGTGCAGCTTTATTGTTTTCATTTCTAATTTTGTTTGTATTATCACACCAACTCTGGGCACTGTTCCAATTACAATTTGCATGGCAGACACTGTAGGGAAGCACTTACATATATACATATATATATATATATTATATATATATATAAAATATATATACTTTTTTTTTTTTTTAAGACTGTTACTGTGCTGAGTATTTCCATTAGTTTTGGGGTTGGAAAGTAAAGAAATGTTATGAGCAAAACTTGCATGAAAATTTCCAATCAGCCCGTTTCCCTTTTTATTATTTTTATTATTATTATTATTATTATTATTATTATTATTTTTAAGTGCCTTATCTCCACTGTTTGCGGTAGGCAGGAGGAGTGATTGTTACCAGAGTGTATGAAGGTACTCTGCTTTGTGGGGAAGCTCTCATCTTGTTCACCTGATTAACCAGTAGGCTTTTCCTCCAGGTGGTGATACAGGAGTTGTCCTTCTGCAGCTACATTCACTAAGGAAAACCAGAGAAATTTTGCACTCAAATTACACTTATGCTCTTACACTCGTACTTGAAATAGGTGAACTTGTAAATCAAGCAGATGTGAGAAAGGAAAGAAAAGACAGTACATTGAGCTTGTAACAGAGCCTTGCAGTAGGATCCTTGGACTCTGAATCCTGGCTCTCTGTTTCCCAGCATCTCACTGCCTTTGCAGTAGTACTTTTTGAATGCTCTGCTCAGCTACTTTTTTTTATAAACCAATTGATCTCTAAGACTGCATCCTTTGCAATGCGAAACAGGAACCTCAAAGCAAAATAATGCTTCTAATAGTAAATTAGTATTAAAATGTGTCCTCAGATTATCTTCTACAGCAGGGAAAGCATAGCAACATAAGTACTGCATACCCAATACTTCTTGCTCTGCGACTTTTGTTCTGAGGATTTAGTATGGTTTGAGGTAGGCAACAGGCTTGGTGACAGGCTTCAGTCTAGTAAGTAAAAGATTGTCTGTTTATTTGTTCGTTTTTTTTCCATATATTCAACACTTGCATGCAAAATTTATGACAAATTTTCAAAGCTGTCTGGGTGGAAGCTGGGTAGAGCTGCTTTTTTGAAAGAGCTGTGCTATAAAAATCAAGCCATGTATTCAGACATCTAACTTTAGATTTCTGCTTATTCATCAAAATCACAAGTGATTTTTAAAACCACAGTTGTAATTAACTCATGGTTGAGTATGTGCTAATGCAAAAGGTCCAACAAGTAATTCTGGAAGTGCAGAAACACCAAGAAAATTCAAGTGTTTGGCAACTTAATGTTACTAGTTGGGCTATTTATTAATGCCAGGATTTGAAGTGAACAGGCTTCCCAGTTGGGTAGTCTTTATCTTTCAAAGGAACAACTGATGAATGATGGTTTTTTGACCTGCTTAGCACCTCTTTCATAGTACAGTGAAAACTCAATTGTATTGGAAACCGCTGGGAACTGACTGGTGTCATACTGGAGAACTCACCCACTTAATGTGCACTTACACATCCTCCATTTTGTTCTTTGTTTTGAATTGCATGCTTATAATTTCTTCCATAGCAATCCAGTGCATACTGCTTTCAGTTAGAGTTTTCTTTAAGAAAAAAAAAAAACAAGCAACTTTTGATAGAACAGGCAAACCATTTGTTTTCATTCTATAATTTGGCCATTTCTTTTAGCGACTGCTGCTTAAATGCAATTTTGATGTCTTTCCTAAGTAAATGAAATGTCCACAGATGACAGATGTCATTTATAAAGCTTACATAGCTGTCCAGTGTAACAGCAGAAATGCAAGATGTACTTTGGCTTGTTTTCAGCAGGACACTTGTCAGTAGTTGAATTCAGTTGGGGCTGGCAGGGTTTTCCTGTGAAAGCCAACTTCTAAGTATTACTCTTCCTGTAAGCCTACCTACCTTTGGTAATTAATTTTGGTTTTTAACTTGTATGTATTTTGATCAATTACCAGTGGTTATCTGTGGGTAGGGAAGAGTAAAAATAATCATTTCTTTATTAACTTTTTGCATAAAAGAGCTTTCATTTTCTATTTAACAGAAAATGAATTTAATTTTATATTGGAGCACAGTGAGATCAAAAGTTCAAGTTGAAATTGTTTTGAACGAGTAACACAACTGCTCCATTAGGAAATTTCATATCTGTTAAGTCTTCATAGCCATTAAGACAGGCAGAACACTTCTGAGATTAGGGTGAGGCTGGAGATTTATAGCTATACGGATTAAAAAGACTGTGTGCTTTCAGTCCACCTGCATTACTTTCCGTATCTCAGTTAAAGAGGTAAATTGAGCTGCAGCTCTTTTGTCACAGGGGAAGGAGAACTGAAACTCTGCTCTTCCTCATTGGCCAAAAAAAAAAAAAAGAGGAGAGAGATGGAGCAATGCAAGAAGGGGCACTTCTTGACTCATGCCCTCTTTTTTTTTTTTTTTTTGGGGGGGGGGGGGGGCTCTGTATGGCTAAATGACATATGATGGTGTATGACAACACATCTGAAGTAATCAACCCAGATGTTCTCTATACTCAGTAGCGATGTTGCTGTAGTTTGCAAGCTGCCTGTAGTGTGACTAACTGTGTCAGCTGCTGCAGGATGAGTTCTGCTGCAAAGAAATTCTCAGTGCTGTTGCAGATTGTGCCAAATGTCAGGTAGGGTAAAACACACCTTGAGTAACTGCAGAAGAATCTTTCTTGGCATGAACTGAACCTTACTTTGGTGACACTTGCTTACTTAAGTAATATCATTAAAGTTTATTGCTTGTTGTTGAACTCCATAGAAGTGGAGTTTTACGTATTTGTTAGCAAAGTAAAAAGAAAACATAGGCACATGCACAGAAGAACCTGTGCTGAATAAAAGGCACTATTTTAAAGTATTACTCCTTCCCCCCCTTCCCCCCCCCCCCCCCCCAATTACTGTTTTTCTTTCCTGAGCAAAAACACTGAACTGTCTCTCAGCACACTGTTAACTTCCTTTTCTTCTGAGACTGCTATTTCATACTGTTTTACAATGGGTGTTGCTGGAGCCCAATGCGATACTTGGCTCACTGGTGCTAATATGCTGTTGCTGTGTTCTGAAAGAGAAACATTCATGCTTGCAAATGTCAAAATTGCCTTGTTACTGCAAGGAGCAAGAGATTATAGAGAGACAGTTTAAAGTCACTACGTCAGAGAGGTGAGAACTGAATATCTCAGCAAAGTGAGTTTAGTTTGCATTGTCTTCCTTCTGTAGCCTCTCAGGGTATTTGCATGTACAAAATTTTGAATATTCACGTGTTATTCCAAGTTTGCCTTTTATCTCTGCATGTCTGTCACTGCTGTAGAAGAATGGACAGCAGCTGTTACTAAACCAGTTGCCTGGCTTTGCTGACTGAGTTGAGCATGCCTACATTAGGAAGGAACTGGGAGGGATCGCTAGGTTTCTTCAGTACATAAAAAACATTTTTCTTTAGGGTGCTCCTAAGCTGTTAAATATTCACACAGGTACTGAGTCATGACAGATGAAATCTGTACTAGTTTTTTTCCTGTCACATTCTGTAGTGAACATCAGAAGGATTCTAGTTGACAACAACAGAAGGTTTAAGCCATTAAGTAGTGATAGCGTGCACCTATCATGAAGGCAGACTTATGACCACTTAAATTCTCAGGATAACTTCACTGCCTGCACTGTGTTCAAACTGAGCACTTCCCTTATAATGAGGATTTTGTAAAACTGAATTCTTCACAGGAGTTACTGCCATGTAATGCACTTTCAAAACTTGTCTATTTTAATCATAGAATGTCCAGTAATCCACAGTTTCAAAGTCCTTTCAAGTATGTTTTTGTAAACAAACGTGGAATCCATGTAAATGAGAAGGTTGCCTTTCCTGATTGTCATGTCAAGAAAAAAAGTACATTACACAGTATGTCAATGAAGTACATCTGCTTGACAAAATGTCATTTTGTTTTACTGAGGAGTTGTAAAGGAGTTGTTTATTTCCTTTAAGAACAGTAAGAAAACTGACTATTTTAATAGGAGAGGTTGCAATAAAGCTTTTCACGGTTTTGTGTTGTCTTTGTGAATGGTACTCCTGTTAACAGTTAAGAAAGATCTTTAGCTAACGTAGTACTGAGTTGTCACAGAGCAACATCCTCAGTTTAGGAAGTAAGTTGGATTCAACAGTTGCTGGAAATTGGCCAAACAACACTTGAAAAGATTACAGTGTTTATATAGCTTCAAAAATGACTTCTATTTCTTACATGGAATTTCACCTTAGTTCTGTGCAGGATTAAGATCTAATGTTGGAAAAAGGCATGTTGTCAGTTACTCTGTTATGATTCTACTATTGTTTTGAGGGAAAGAAAAAGTGGTTCTCTTCTAAGCCCTTCCAGAATTGCACTAGATGGTCTTAACTGAGTCTGAGATTCACAGTTGCATTGTTTTTCCCTGTGTGTCTTTTTTCCATTTTTATTGCTACATTTTCTCCTCTCAGACCATGTGCTTTTCTCTTGGAAGTTTCATAAAAATGTATATACAGAGGGTAAGAGAGTGTCCTTCTCTACAGTAACTATTTATCCACTATGTGAAAGCATCTCCCTCTGTGCAGAGCATTTAACCCACACAGTTCAAGATGTGAATTATCTGTTACCAAGGTTCCTTCTAAACAAATCAGAAACGTTTAATTAGAAGACATAATTGGTAATATGCTTTTAGTAATTACTTTTTAATCAGGACTAACAGCTTTAACATTACAGTGCCAAAGTTGCCTGGGGGAAAAGATGGCTATCGCAAATCACATTAAATAGGTGGAAATGTCTGTATTGTGCTGAGTTGTTTAAGAATTTCAGTATCACTTTTTATTTTGAAGTATAGAGGTTGTGTTATAAATAATGCATACAGATGCACAAAGGAGTATGCTTCTAGACATACGTGCTCTTATAATGTCTTTGTGGCACCTCTTTTCCTGTGCTACAGACATCAGGCAGAACTCACAATACTGCCTTCATCCTTGTCATTGTACTCGTTAGAAAAGAGTATTAAGCACCACCTGAGGATGCTATCAGTGCAGACTGACCTGAGAGCAGTAAAGGAGAGTGGTCTTTGACTTTTAACACGTCACTGGAAAACAATGTGGAGTTACTTGAGCTTGTGTTTGTGTGTGCGTGCATGTGCACCAATGCCACAATTTAAGAGTATTCGATGGTTAGATATTACAATCCCTTTACTTCGTCAGAGATCTTGACATCTGAATACCCAGCAATATAAATGTCAATAATAATTGTTCAGCTGATTTTTCAATACTTTGACTGGACTTTTGCTGTGAACGCCCAGCGAGATTTGTCTTACAGGCAGTGTTATTTTTAATATAGGTTTTATTTTTATATTTAGTCACAAATTAATAGTGAATCTGAATGTATCCTATTAAAAATCCAGCTTCAAGTAGTAGAAATATAATAATGGTCTGTTGTGAGCATAGCACTTAACAGCTCAATGCTCGTCAGTGCTCTGTGTATTACTTGTGTGTACTTTTCAGCACTGTGTTATAAAGACACAGAATGGCAACTCTAAACGTTTATTCATTTGCCAGCATGGGTCTAATGTTAGTACTGACTTCTTTCCTGATTTGGCCTTCTCCTTATGATCTCAGATCTGCAACTATTTCAGCTGACACTTGATATTAAAACTGGTTGGCATAAATGCTCTGACCCTTCTCAGCTCTATACACAACAGTACCTGTGCCAAACACTGATTTTATTGACTACAGTGTTTTCCAGGACCTCTAATTTTCTAAGACCCTGTTCTGAACACACTTCTGCTTCCATTTTCTCCATTCTTTTTTAAGTGTAGGTGCCATATATCATGGAGCATAGGTGGCCAAACTGATCCCTTTGAAGGGAGCTATCAGCAGAAGGGCCAGTGAACTCACTGAACTGGTAGACATATTTTAGCAATTATCTTGTGGCTTCAGCAAGGAAAGAAACATCTTTTCTAAAAGGCCCGGGGGATACAGAAATTAAGAAATATTTCCCAAAACACTGTTGAAGTCCTTGCAGCTGTTTGTGTTGAGGAGGATCGAAGGCTTTCATTGCTCGCTCCGGTCCGTGTCATGCAAAACTCCATGCAAATTCTACTGCTGACCTTTCTCGTGCCAAGCAAAACTGTTAAGTATGCCGAGAGAGAACGTGATCGCAGCAAATGCCGCAGTTAATGCTCAGCGCCCATTAGCCCGGCGCTGGCCGCGCTCCGACCTCATACCGCTTGTCATTTGCTTGAATTGCAGTGACATCTGGTGGCACGCTGAGCTCTTTCTGTACAGCTGTTCTGCCATTTATAGCTCCCATTTGCTTTCTTTCCCTTTTTAGAAAACTGGTGGGATGAGTATTTTATTTACACGGTGCAGGTTTGCCTGCTGTGACGCGCGGTTTTCCCACACGGTGCGATGCGGGATCAGCACAGCCCCGTGTCGGTCACAGGTCTGTAATTCTGTACTGTGCTCTGACGGTAATGAAAATGTTTTTTAATTAAGCGCTTGAATGCATTACATCGGTTTACCGAACTCCGTCGTGCTGGCTCGTTTGCATTACACCCTGACATCGTTGTTCTAAACGAGGGACGGTGGAACATTAGAGGTGCTCGCAGCTTTGGAAGGCGAGGCGTGACAGCGCGCAACGCACGGCTTCCCTCGGACGGCGCAGCCCTGCCCACACGCACGTCTCCCGCCGGCCGATGCACTCACAGCCCGGCGCGAGCCGCACCTTCGCGTCAGCGCTCCCTGCCAGCAGGCAGCCAACGAACGCCGCCCGGCGGAAACTGCGCGTGCCCGAAGAAGGCGGAAGAGTCTTTCACAGTAAGAGGAATCCGCCTCCCGCTTACATCTCCGACGACGATTGGCTGCACGGGTCCACGATCTCGGGCGGTGATTGGCTGGGAATCAGTAGGTCTGGGTGTGATTGGCCGGCGGGAAGTGGCGGTTTTTTTCTCTCGCCGGCGGTGAGGTGAGGGCCGCCATGTTGGAGGTTCTGCTGCTCCTTGGTGGCGCTGCGGGGCGTTCTTTTCTCAGTAACGAGGCCCTGGGGATATGCCAGTAACTGCGGGTGTTCAGGTGGTGGAGGTGTCCCTTGTACGTCGGGAAAGAAGCACCTGGAATGGTGGTTATATCGAATTCTCTGGTTAGACAGGAGATGAGAGAATTGTGAGGTGATAATAAAGACCTCAGTGTAGGCGGTTCCATTCGTGTACTGGAAAACTTAAAAATAAATTACCCTGGGTTTGTTATTTCTGTGTTACTCAGGAGTACAAAAACGGCTGTTGGGTGTCCCCAGTCGATTCTTATGTAGAAGTTGTTTTCTGTTTTTAATTGCTGTTTTCCCGTGTCTAGTTCCATGTGATTTCTGGAGTGGGGAGGCCAAAGCACTCTGGGTACATCAGTAGAGACAAGTTAACATTCACAGCATGGGGATGTTTTGCTCTGGGTTAAATCCAATGCAATTACTTTTGTCTGCTCTTGAGTTTTAAGCTAATGTTTTCAGAAATCTATAACTTAAAAATCTTGAAGCTATTAGGCATCTCAGTGCTCACTATTTTCCGTATAATTATGACTCTTCACCACGTGCATTACTGTATCTTTCTTAAATAATCTCATTTTCCATTTTGTAATGAGGCCTTTCTATAGTCTTGCTGTTGGCTTGCATGTGCTGAACAATCTATGCTGGCAGGACAGCCTGCCATTTTCTGCTCTTCCTAGCTGAAGTGTATTGAGAATCCACTGCAGAACTCCTATTCCGATTTTGTCAAAGCTAATCATTGGAACTGGTATCATAACTAATTAATTACACAATGTTTGCAAAATCTATTGGAAGTTTGTATCAGTGAACTGTGTTTCACTCAAGTGATAATTGTTCCCTTCTCATGTAGCTCATCAGTTGCCAAAATGGCAGCCAGGAGGGAGATGCAGGTATGTGCCTATGGACTGGAATATGGTGTGGATTGTTTTAATTACTGACTTTAAGGGCCTCTACTGGTGTTTAACTAGAAGTGCAATTTGTAGTACAGCAAACAATGTGTTCAGAAGAAATTTTCCATTGCTATATGTTACTTCTAAGCAGCTGGTTAGAAACTGAGAAGAACAGAAAGGTGTTATTGATACAAATAATTAATATGCATTTGATATACTTAATGTGGTTGGGATGGTATTCAAGACTGAAATGTTTAAACCTACCTTTGATCTAGTTTTAGAAAGAATAGAGAGGCATAATAATAAAGGAAGTTATACATATGTTGATAGCTTTTAAAATCAGTAATATGTAATTTAAAAATGCAGTATTAAGTGCCAAGGAGAGGGTAAGAACACAGTATGTACTTATGTAAGTGCTTACTGGTGATACAAGGAAAGAAAAAAGCATCTAGTTAAGGAAAACTGGCAAACTGTTAGAAGGTGGGTAAGTATTTGTGTGATTAATGCATTAGATATGGTGTTCTGTACCTCAGAACCTTTTTATGTTTAATGGTTTTGTGATTCAGTATATTTGCTGAGAATCTAACAGATGACAACATAAAAATAAAGATTAAGCATTATAAAATCAGAATCAGTCTTAAGACAGAAATGTATCACTGTGTGCTTCTTTTATTCTAGCAGTTTGAAAAGCTAATTGATGAAGTTACAAGGAAAAAAAATTTTGAATTATTAGAACAATACCTGGAAAGAGAAGATTGTGAAAATATCTCTTACAAATGCAGCAAACAGTTCGTCAGCAAGTTAGACAAGCTTCTGTGTCAGGTGATCTCATTGTTACATCAGAATAATTCGTGCTCGTCTGAAAAATACTTTTTTCATTTGTACCAGCAGTTGATTTGGAAAACTGAAATAAAATTTAAGACTCTCAGTTCTTGAGAATACAGAGACGTGCTTAATTAAATGTAAGATTTTCTGGAAGTATGAACTGAAGCCGGTGTTACAATGTTGATTTCAGGAACTTGACAAACAAGAAATCAAAAGTGTTTCAACTTTACTAACTTCTCTTTGGAAGTGTGGGGAAAAAATCAGCATAGCAGGCGACAATGGACTCCCAGCAATGATAAAATGTGGCCTTATTGGAAAGATAAGTATAACCATAAAGCATGTGGGAAAAGATATGAGTGAAGAATATGTGAGTAATGCTTCAGCACTGAACAGCTTAGTATTCAGTTTAGTCTTTGATTGCCTTTTGAGTTAATGATTTCTTACTATTTCACAACAAGCATTACTCCGAATAAAGTGTTTTAGCTTATGCAACCAGGTTTGCACTGAAATGTGCTCAGGAAGCTGGTAATGTTTTTGCTGTTGTTTTAATCTTTGTATAGTCAGTGTAGTTTTTCTGAAGTATAATACAGTCTTGTTCTTTTTTGTGCTTCTAATGTAAGTTTGCTTTTATTTTTCTCTTACATGGTTAATTGGTATGAAAAGTTAAAAGGAATTTTGATTCTCAGAGGAAATGAAAAGAACAAAATCGTTACAAGTCTGGCTGAAGATTTCTTCAATGTACTACTGGTAAAAAAATATGTCGATGATTAAATATATTGTTTGTGAAAAGAGTTGTTAGTACGTTGGCAACAAAAAGGCTTTCATGCATTTTTCTATTTAGTATCCCTCTAATGCTAATGTTACAATGATTTCTGAGACAGATTATAAGTCTCTTTGGACAGTTTGTCTGCATTCATGCTTGTTAGCATCATTTAAAAAAAAAAATCAGTGAACAAAAATATCTGTTTTGATTTTTATTACCCAAGTTAGTTGTATGCTAATCCCTTGTCCAAGGGCCCACAGTTTATAAGATCTGGGAGTTTTTAATAAAAAATGTATACATAAAAAAAGTTGTAGTAGAGGAAGCAATTTGAATACATTTACTAAAATATTTGAGGATACTAGACTTAACATTAGAAAATGTCTGCTGTGTTCCTCATTAAGGATTTGAGGGTGAAATAATTGTAAAGTCTTAAATGCTTTTTATTTGCCAGCTTTGGGTACGTTATCTAGATTTTATGCTGTAATACTTACAGTACCTTCTTTTTTTTATCGTAGATTGTATATGACAGCAGACCTGAAGGTGGGCTTAAAGGAATTCTGTTCTAGATATCATAGTTAAAATCTCTTTCAGAGCTCTTCAGAAGTTGTCAATGTTAAAACAACTGTTTGTGGGACCATTTGAACACAAGGTGGTTCTGAGAGCAGTTCTGTGTGAATAATAAGGGTAGTATAAAATTTTGTGATTAATGTGAATAAACAGATCTGTGTTCTGCACCCAGTAAACATCGAGGACTTGTCCTCAAGAGGGCTGTGCTGTGCGCTTTTCTTGTGCTCGTGAGAAAGGCAGCTTGATTGTGAATTGCATTTTTATGTGGAGAAAAAGCCTGAATGACAGTTGTAATCTTTTATTGTTTAAGGTTTGTGTATTGACAAGTTTTCTTTGTAACTTGACAATATTGGCAACAAAAGCAAGAAAGTTTCTTCTCCTCAGTGATGGCAACTAAGAGGTTTTCATTAAGAGGGCAGTGTTACCTAACAACTGCCACAGCTCCACATAGCATAGTTGTTCTCCTCTTTGGATGGCTATTGTGAATATCACACTGTTCTTACCTTTCACAAGTAGCACAGATGGTAGAAAGTACAGAGTATTTTGCTGTCACTGTCAAAATCTCAAAGGGCCCATTTTCCTCGGTTTTGGGAATCCAATCCCAGAGCTCTCAGAAGTGACATGTGCAACTGATTGGAATATATTTTAAAAATTAATTATCTTCTTGTACAAGGGATTTCCACAGTTAGAATGTGGTAGACAGGAATAGAAACATCATACAGATTTTTATGATATTTTCTGTAAATGGAAGTACTACTCTGTACTGCATCTTGACTACAAGATGCTTATTTTTAAATACCAGTAATTCTGTATAGAAAAGAAGGCATGCTGTGTTTTTGAATTTTAGTGCTAATTCTGAATTAGCACTATGTTTACACCTGCAAATAAAAATAGTTTCCCAAATGCTGGAATTTTTGCTAATTTTTAATGGTGTTTTGTTTTGTTTTGTTTTGTTTTTTTCCCCCTCTGGTTATTAGGTAAAATGGAAATGCTAGAAAACTTTGTTTTGAGAACATGTACCATCATAACTGATGTAAGAATTAATATTTATGTCCAACAAGAGGTAAACACTTTTTTTTTAAGCAGCATTTTTCTCATTGGTATTTAAATATGCTTTGCAAAGATAAGTGTACAAATGCCACAAACAGGTAATGTTGTGGTATAGTATAGTAGCATCTGAAGGACAATTTACTATTTCTCTGGGGATGCTGGTTGGCATTTGTGCTACTAACCGTTCAGTTTTGCTTTGGGCAGTAAATTGGAATACAGTGGTAGGATGATTCTGTTGAGAAAGCTGTATAAAGGCATAGGAGATAAAATGCTCTATTACAGTTGCTAGAAATTCTTTAGATATTTGCAGGAGATCACAGAATCACAGGATTGTGGGGGTTAGAAGGGGCCTCTAGATGTCTGTACCTTCAGTATACTCCAAATTTCTCCTATTTAATTTACTAACATGATGTTTTCAAGGTTTTCCTTTCTCTTTAAAGAAAAGAGTTTTGGGTTTTATGTTTCTTTGTTGTGCTTTATTGTGTTTGATTTTGGCTTTTTTCTTTTTTCCTTTTTTTCCCCTCCCCTGTAATCTTCTCTAAAGGCTACATCTCCAGAGCAAGGGTGTTTGCATGCAAATTTGAGGTATAATTTAGCTTAGCAATCAGCTTCAGATAGCAGTCTCTCTCTGAAAGTTTTTTGCTATATTTACACCTGGAAATAAGAAACATAAATACCATTTAAGGCCAAACAATTATTTTCTTGTTTTTCAATTACTTAAGCATGTTATTTTGATCAGTGGTACAGAATATATTGATTAGATCCTGAATGCAGGTGCAGAATAACTTAAACTTCAGTAACTTACTTTATGTTTAATTTGAATCCTTTTTTTCCCACTCAGGTAGTAAGAAAACTTAATTTAATGCTTGACAGCATGCCTCGAGATGCCAGGAAAAAGATATTTTCTACAGAGGAGATGTTGCTTGTCATGTAAATGATCTTCAGTATTTTTTAAAGTCATTAAATTATTTGCATATCTGTAAAGATATTTTCTAAGACTTTTTATAAGGCATGATAGTCCACGTCTAACTCATTTTTCCATTTTGCATTTGCTGTTATGTTGCCTGTGGTAGTGTCAGTGGCAGATATTCTCATCGGCTATTCCCCCTTATTTAATCCTTGTTGTTTTCAAACAGTTACATTCATAGTCAGTTATAGGACTGGGTGAATCCCTCACTGGAAGGGCAGACTATTTGCATATTTGGAAAACTTTTCATAGCATTAAAAGAAAAAAAAGGCGTGTACCTGGTGGCTCAATTCTCCAGTATTGCTTTCAGATGTATGTATGCTCTTTGCAAATGAAAGACCTGCCCCTCTGGAGTCTTAATAATTGGATGGAATCAGATTTTCATCTCATATGTTGGACAGTTGTAATTAAGTAAACTTTTCTTCCGTGCTTTGTTTTGCTGTCATAATTTGATGAAACACTGCTTAATTTTTCAGGAGTGACATGGGTAGGAGAATTTTGGATGCTGGAGGTGAGCGTGGCTAACAAACATTTTATTATTGATATTAAAAATTGCATGTAGTCCCATTTAAAAATCCAGGGAATACCTTAGAAGCTGCAGAACATTGCAGTAATTGTCCTCTGAAGAATAAAATATTGCAAGAGTACTCTGCCTGCAAACAGGAATGTCTCAGATGTATGCAGGATCAGACTAACCTTGTGAACTTGTTGGTCCTCTTCTCTTGCAAGTGAATTTTAAAACAGCAGAAGATCAGAAAGTAGTAAGTCTCTGAGGACAGTGAACTGTTTACCACATTTAATATTAGTCTAATTTTTGCCAACGGCCACTTTGGTTTCTCTCTGATTCAAGCAAAAGCTGAACATTTCCTATCTTTGCTTATATGTGTAGCATTGCTTTGACCTTCCTTGAGAGTTTAGTTGAAGTCTCATTTTTGAATCATCATCATTTTGTTCAGTCATCCTTATTCCCTTAATTCTATATTTCCTTTATGGATTACATACTTGGGTATAATGTGATATGCAGTATGAAAAGTTTGACACTGCTGGTAATAGGTTCTTACATAATTATTATTTTTTAAAATCAGTGATATTCTTAAAACTACTATTCCTGTAAAATGTATTGTGCTGTAGACTATGACCTGCAAGTAGCCATCACAGAAGCTTTGTGCAGAATGGTACCAGAGAAACAAAGAAGAGAACTGGCATGCCAATGGTTTTCCATGGAGTTTGTGTCCAATGCATTTAAAGGAATTAAAGATTCAGAGTTTGAAACAGTAAGTCATATTAAGAATATTTCCATCACGATAGATTTTCATTTTCTACTTTCTACATGGAAATCTTTCTGTTTTAATAGGATTGCAGAAAATTTCTTAACCAGGTGAATGGCATGCTTGGAGATAAAAGAAGGTAAAATGTTTTTGTTTTTAAAGCTAGTATGTTTTTGGCACAGAAACTGCTTTTGGTGAACTCAACAAAGCAATACAAGCAAATAAGACTAGTCTTACTGTGGTGCAAAGGCAAGGAAGTGTGCAGAATTCAGTTCTTTTAAAACATTAAATAATAAAGAAGCGCTGTCTTTTGGCATGTTACCATAGATATTATCTTCTCTATCAAATGCTAATTTTATGTAATTCCTATACTTGGGGAAAAAAAAAAAGTAACAAATTGAGGAAACTGTTCTTTAAGTAAAGGGCATTCATTTGAAAAGATTCTTAAGCAATAAAAAATCCATGCTTTGTTAATTTGTTAATTCATTAAATGTATCATCTAATAATAGTTAGCAATCTATTGATGTATATATTCCTTTGATTTGGGATGTTTGTGCTGAGCTAATGATCAATGAAGATATCTGTTAGAGAAATAGAACGTTTAAAAGGAGAAAGTACAAACTTTTTTTCCTATCTATATGATCACATCTTCTGTATATTTTATGTCACGATGGTGTAGAAGATATTGTCTACTGTCCCTATAGCAGCTCCATATTCAGTTTTGAATACCTATTATAAGACCATTTCTAAAATATCAGTAAATATGAACATAGGAAGGAGATCTGAGAGCACTCTTTGCTCGTTGGGGATTCACATTATCTCCTTTGGGGAAGAAGTGCCAGGAAGTGACTGTTCCTTTCAATCCTGCAATTCCAAAGTCTGTGAAGCACATAAATTTTGTGCTGAAAACAATACAGTTGCTGTGCTCAGATATGGCAAATTTACAGTGTTTCAGTCTTTGACAAAATATCCTTTTCTTACAGGGTTTTTACATATCCGTGTTTATCAGCAGCTCTTGATAAATATGAGGTAAATTGCAGGCTAAATCATATATCCACAGATTTTTATTTGTGCAGGTGAGGTATTTCTTTGCCTTTTAGTTCAGAAAGCAGGGTTTAAATAAAATTATTTGTCAGGCATATACAGAAGTATTTGAAGTTTGTCAACCTGTGACACAAAGCCTAATAGCTGGTATAAACTTTCATTCTCAGCTCTTGCTCTTCTGTCTTAATTTTTCATTTCAGCTACAGCTCCCATTGGATGAAAATCTTGAAGAATTTTGGATTGATTTCAATGTTGGCAGTAGAAGTGTATCTTTCTACGTGGCAGCAGATAATGCAGTAAGCTAAGTTTTGTCTGTCATATTGATCCTTTTGAAGAAGTAGATGTGTGCTTTCTCAAGTATATCAAGTATGTTATATATGCATCTACAATGTGGAGACAAAAAAAATAGATTTGGTGCAGAAATAGGTAAATATTGCTGGTAGAAATTGGTGTTGCTATTCTTTTTTCATGCATGTAGATCAAAGAATTTCAGAGTAATGACTTTTTAATGCTGTTTGTGAACAATTCAGTATATAATTGCACCTGTGAACAAGAAACTGTTTACAAAATTGGAATCATAGAATCACATGGAAGTTGTAGGATTTGTAGGTAACTCAACTTTTTAGATGAGTATTTTTACCAAAGCTCTTCAGGGACATTTTCAGTTATAAATTAAGAATATATTCATTGTAATAAAGGCTGTTGACAATTGAAAACTTGTTTTCACTGGAATGCTTTCTAATCAGTGTCCTTAATTTATCTCTAATATTATATTTATCTTTTCAAAATTGTGTATTTTTCACATGAGGATCAGCAATGGGAAACAGTCATCATACCAGAGGAAGAGGTAGACCTATACAACCTTGAAGGTATTGGCAGTAATGAATCTGATGTTTTGTTATGCCCTAGTGGGGATTTTCAAACTGATCAAAGCAAAGTTCACATCCAAAACAGTGTAGGTGCATTTGTTTTTATCAAATTGCACTGCACTCATGTTAGTAGTTTAAGCACGCAGGTGCAATTTAAATAATTTTAAAGTAATATCTTATTTCAATGCAAAATAAAACATCAGATGGTGACTTTTAATAATCTTCCTTTCAAATATCTTAGATTAGTTTTGTAAAAACCTATAATTGGTCTGCAGCTATGATAGATAACCTTCAGAGAAAATGCTACGGGTTAATATATAAATATTTTTACATGATTGAATCTTAAATTACTTCAGTAATAAAGTAATAAAGTAGAATTAATTAAATAAAAGGTGCATTTCAATAGCTGAACTGATGCACACAGTTATCAACTGTTTACTGCTTAAAGTGGCTACTTAAATGTAATGAAAAACATTCTGCAATTTTGTTTTTGTCCAGAGAAAGATTCAAAGAAATTATTAACAATAGATCTAAAAAGCCCAATGAATGTGGGAAATCAAGAAGGAGAGAAATTTTTTTTATACTTTGATTCTATCTTGGAAATCGAAGATGTAGCCAGAAAGATTTATGGGTTAAATAAATGTAAGGTAAGATACAAACACCTTTCATATGTTTTTTGATTCAGTTTGAAATGATGTGTTATTGCCATGTTATTATGACTGATTGTTGTATTGATTTCTAATTACGGAGTTTCTTTAGTCACAGTGTTAGTAAGAATGTTGATTCATTGGTAATGTGTTATTTTCAGTGAAGTTATGTAATAAATTTAAAAATAATTGTTACAAAACCAGACAGGCTGCAATGGGATCACCTTTCTTTTTTTCTTATATGCAAAATCATGTAAATAATACTTATGACTTTGCAGTCACATGGGAAACAGACAGCAGTCTATCAGAATGTCTCATTCAGTTCAGTTTGCAGTATGCTTAGCCCTTTAGGAATTGACTCAGTCAAAAACTGTTTGCCAGACATCTTACTTCTTTACTGCTTGGTGCAAACTACTTTGCCCTGCACTCTTCCTAGTTGAGAAACTCAGTAGGACTGCAAAAGCCGTGAGCTTGCAGACTGTATTTTCCCCTCTAACCTGTGTAATTTCAGGCACTTCTGATCTCTGACTTAAGCATTTTCTTTTTTGTTTCTTGTTTAAAAATAAATGAGCAAAGTGTTTTCTTTACTTAGACAGTTTCTTCCTTTATAGGAATTCAGTAAGAAGCAGTCTATGTCAGTTGCTAAAACAACAGTGCATATCATCTTTGATGAAAGTGGATCACAGGTATGCTGAAATCACTGTTTTCTTGCTTTTTATAATGGTTAGTATGATTATCTAACTAATGGTGACTGACTGTAAAAACAAGGATGTTTTAAATGCCAGTGAACAAAGATAGCTGTACAACTTACAGTTTCTATACTAATTGGCTATTGAATGTAAAGAAGTTCATCTGAATGCGTGTGCGTTTGTATGTACAAATAAAACATGTTTCAGTATGTTGATTTATGTATATTTGTATATGTGTATATTTAGAATTTTATTCATTTCTGTATGTATGCATCTTCACACACATGCACGTATAGGTTCTGGTGCCAGAAAGTCAGTTGTCACCATGTTTGGAAGAAAAATCTGAAGATGCCAAATTCAGTAAGTCCAAAGCACGGCAACTTCCTGGAATTCAGAGGTCTTTGAATAAAAACAACCAAGATAAATGCAAAGATGATTCCTGCAAGGTAAGTTGGAGTTCCTATGATCTTGCAGTAAGCTGCGTAAAACCTTCTTTGAAAAAGTTTGCCAGAATCTATTGATACTGTTTCAAATACATAACAGAAAAATAATGCTTGCATACTTTCAAAGACCATTGTTCTGATAGAATTCTAATTAGATAGAAATGATTTTAAAGCATGTTTAGATACCCTATGATATGCAGAAGTTCTGGAAACTTATTAATTATTAGCTATAATAATAGCTGTTAATTAGAGACAAGTCCTTATAGGCTTGGTATTTACAGAGAACAAGATTTACAAAAAAGCTGAGGTGTGGCTGTCAGGATGTATCCTGTATCTTCATTAACCAAACCACAATCTGTTGGGACTATAAGCTATTCATTGCTTATTCTCTGTTTAAACTGCGAGGAGCAGAATTGTGAAGCCTTTTGCCACACAATCACTCTACAGCTGTGAAATGGTAAATGCATTGTGGTTCTACCAGAGCTAACTGCAGATACCACAGGGATAGGAGAAAAAGATGAAGTAATGCTGTCGTTTCCTCACCATGCAGTAGTCATGCAGTGCATGTGTTGCTGGGAGTTGTTTTCGGTAAACCTGTTCCTGTGGAAACTCCTGAAAGTAATCTTAGTTCTTTTGATTGTTAACAAAGGATGGAATTTGGCCTTGCTTTGTTGAGTTAAATTAGAAAAATAATAATGCTGCTCTCAGTTAAAATCCAGAGTTAAATAATCCAAGTGTTATGGTAAACTTTCTCATGGTGAGAATTGCATGAAAATCAGTTGTTACATTGACGAGTACAGCAAGAGCAGCTGGTGTTTCAATAACAAAGTGTTAAAAGTCTCTTGGAAATAGGTTTCTAAAATCTTATGTTGTCACCCTTAAGACTGTATATAATGATCAAGTGTTTTTCCTTGCCTCAAGATCACCACGTCTTGTAAAAGGAAAGTGTCTGAAGCATCAGTGCTTATTCCTGCAACTGCAAGATTTTCCACACGGAGTCCACTGGTATTTCTTAATACATGTAAGTTTGCAGGTACTTTCAGGGTAGAAATAAGCTGTAGTCTTTGAAGTTGCTAATTGTGAATAATATGGTACAGGAATGAACTGTGATCCATTGCAGGGCTGGAAAGGAGTAACGTGGGCTTCATAAAATCCCTCCAGCAGATGCTTTAAGCTTGAAATTTTTAAAGTAGGCCACGTGCTATACTGTTCCATAGACATGATGCAGACAGAATAACATTCCAAACAGCTGAAAGCTACCCATTTCTTGTAATTACACTGACAGTAAGCTGTTTGTGCTGGGGCAAGCTAAGTCGTCTTGTGAGGTGAAGTAGTAAACAATAGAGTAGAACTAAAATATGGGAGGTTTTTTCTTGCTTTCCTTGTGACTGCCATTCACCATTGGTTCAAAGAATTCTTGGCAGTGCTTTTATGGCAGTCAAAGTGGGAAATCAAGTTTTTCCCATATGTCTATCCACCACCTGCATTTTACTGGGATGTTTTAGACAAAACAATTTGCAAGCCTGTGATGTTCATTGTGATGGTTTTGTAGAAACTGTTTCTTTGGGAGTCGATGATGTTTCTTGTGAATAAGGTGGAATCAAGGGCAGGTTTGAATTGCAGGTCTAGTGCTTCAGATGCTTACTTCAAAAGCTGTTTCTTATTAAAAAATATATATAAGGAGGATACTTTTCTTTGTCAGGAGACAAAGGAGTCATTGTTTCTTCCTAATGGCGCTACTGTAATACGCTTAGCACTTTCTAAAAAGAAGTGACTTACAAGTCCAGTAGAGGCTGCAGATGAAACTAGTGGCCAAGCACGTGACTAATTTTCTGTTTTAATGGTCTCAAATGATCGATATACCTGTGTATATCCCTTTGTCATGCAATTAAAGAGTAACAGGCTAGAAATTAAAGGATTTTCAAATTAGGGTGGAACGGGACCAGAGGGAATGGCTTCAAGCTACGGCAGTGGAGTTTCAAACTGGACATGAGGAAGTATTACTTTTCAGAAAGGGTGGTCAGGCACTGGAATGGACTGCCCAGGGAGGTGGTGGAGTCACCGAGCCTGGGGGTGTTCAAGGAAAGGCTGGATGTTGTGTTGAGGGACATGGTTTAGTGGGAGCTATTGGTAATAAGTGAACGGTTGGACTGGATGAGCTTTTAGGTCTTTTCCAACCTTGGTGATTCTGTGATTCTATGATTCTAAGAGATAAATTCTGTACTTTTTTTTAATTTGGAACTTACTACATTATCTATTCCAGTAAAATGTGTTTTACTGTAAAATATCTTCATGCATGACTAAATATTTTCTTCCGGAGCACAGATGTAAAACATTGCTTTCTTCCAGACATCCACTGTATATTGGCTCATTAACCTCTGTGTGACTTAACTGAAGTCAGTAGAATTATTAAAGATGCATACTGAGTTTATATAAATGCTAGTCACTCTTTTAAAATTTATGGAATAAAAGAGATCATGGGCAATGCTCTTCATATTGGTCTAGAATTACAACACATCTCTCGTTTGCTTTCAGCCACTCCTTCTAAAGGACGATGCAAGTTACCTTTGAAAATGATGAGCTCTGTTGAAAGGTCTAACAGTAATGCAGTAAGTGGAACCAGAACTAAAAATTTATATCAGGAGCTTACTGAAGTATGTATGTCATCTTTAGCTAAGTCTTTTACTTAGAATAGCATGTGTTCTACTTTGTTCCTAATTTGCGCTTGGGAGAGCTAGCGTTCTGCAATCAGTGAATAACTTACAGAAAACAGAGTGGTTCTTGGGTCAGATTCAGGTCAAATTCCTGATTGCAGGATTCTGAGGCATTTTATATAGACATGCTTCAGAAAAAGACTTCATTGTATTGAATGTATCATTTAGAATACTTTGAGTGTTACTTAGTACTAAAATTTGTTTTGCTTTTATGGATTGTAATGGTCACTGTTATTTACTGTACTTTCTAGAATGGGCAAAGATGTACATCAGATAATGAATTTTGTGAAACAGGGCAGAATACCAGGAAATCAAAAATCAGAGAAGAGGCAGAACTACCAGAAAAGGTATTGGACCAGTACTTCAATGAAAAGAAGTAATGATTTGATATTTTATTCAAGAAATGATAAATTTGAGACACCTTTTTGTTTGTAATTTTATGTAACTGTTTTATTTTGCGTGTTGCTCTTCAGGCCACACTCCCTACAGTAGAAGTTTCAAAATTTTTACCAGAAGCAGAAAATGGAACCACTGAAAAGCAAACTTTAGGCAAGTAATTTTACAAGAGTTATTTGTCCTTATTTTATTTTTTTAAATCTTGTACATCCCTTCTGTAATAACGATTGGTAACAAATTAATATCTCATTAGATATTGTTCCTGATTCCCAGCGAACAGGGAGAAGCAACAAACAACTGTAAGTACTGAAAAAGAATACCAAGTCACTGCTGGTTTGTGACTCAGTGCAATGAAAAGGTTTTCAGTTCATGAAAAGATTCATCTGTTGTTTTTAGCTTTATAATTGAAGTCTGATTATTTTGAAAATAATGGTCATTAGCAAGATCAGAGTGGTAGTTTAATGTTCAGTGATAATAAGGAGAATAATTATTTCAGATTACAACAGATACTAAAGTAAAAATGACATGGGTTTGCATACAGTGAGCTGTGCCATAAGAAGTAGTAAACAGATTCTAATTGTAACTCTGTAGGGGCACCACATTGTTGTCTTGTTCAGTTTTAGTGCTGGCCATAGGATACCGAAACATCTTCTTTGCAACTGCCTTTTTGTATATATAATTTGTGAAGTTCTGTCATTTTACAAAGCATAGATTAATTGAACAATAGTAGAGGTTTACACACCAGTGTAAAATGCATTGATAATCTATAAGCTAGCTCTGTTTCCCTATGTTGTGATGCGTGTTTATTGTAGTTCAGCCTCACTTCCTGCAATTCACTGAGAACACAATGGTATCATTTTTATTAGACTGCCTGGTCATTTGAAAAGTTCTTCTGATAAAAAAAGAACAAGGAAAAAAAGAATGTGTTCTGTCCCTGAGAAGAATATAGCAACTGGTGACAGACAAAAGCTAAATCTGTCATTGGAACAATCATCTCACACAGGTTGTGTTCATATTTTCTTAAGTGTTAGCTCAAAAATGGTGTTTTAGATGAGATTTTAACCTGTAGTTGTGCTTTCTTTCTGACTTAGCTCCTATTCTTAGTGAAAGAGCTATGAAACATAAAACTTTTTGTTCGGTTTTTGGAAGTGCTTCTCCAGACAAACAAATAAATAAAAGAAAGCAACAAAGAAATGGAACTGAAATCACAAGGGAAGAAAACTGCAAAGTACTGAGTGGTGAGTCAAAGTGCATTAATAACTTGGAACAGAAGCAGTTAAATACAGAATGGGAAACTATTTCAACTACTACTGAAACATTTAAAACATGTCTTTCTGATAAAGTGCCAGAAATATCTTTGCATTCTGATTTTACAAAACACAACAATACTGAAGAGGAAGCTGACGTTCTCTCAAGAAAGGAGACTGCAGGTCATGAAAAGTCAAAAATGGTGAGAGCTTCTTTCCTTCATTTTTTCAACTTGTAATTGGGCGAATTGTTGCACTGCCTGTATTTCCAAATTTATTATACTTTCATTTACTCACAAACTTATTTTTACACTGATTTTTTTCAACTATTACAGAGTGAATTAAATGTCAGGCAAACAGTTTACTTTTTCAGCTTGACCTGTTAAAGATCACTTTAGTCTGTATATTTTTTTTTAATTGTGCTTTTTATTAATAGTTCTTAAATATGGACTGGCTTGTACTGCTCATACACATCTCATCCATTAGTTCTAAATGTTACACTATGTTAAAACATTCAAAACAAGATATCTGCCAGACTCACATAAGGAAAATGATTTTCAAAGGAATGTGATTTAGTACATCTAGAAGACTGTTTAATTAGGTTTAGGTGATTGTTAGGAACTAGTAGCTGTTTCAGCCTTTTCTTTTTGCTGAATGGTGTCAAAGTTGAGTATTAACCTCTATTATTTCAGAAAATAAAATCTAAAGAAATCACAGATGCAACAAAATCACTAATTAGTAAAATCAGTGACAGATATAAAGATGAGAAGAGCAAAACAAGAGACTCTTTGGTTTTCAACAGGTATGAAGTAAACAATTTACTTATGTTTTTTCTGCACAGCACAACACCTGCAATCTACTCCACTATCTACAGTTATTGCACATCTGGCTTTTATATGGCTTGTTCACTTCTGATAAACCACCTTGTACTGAAGAGTAAGAAGGGAATTAGCTGCAGTAATTGAAATAATTGAAATTGCTAGAGATTTCATTCAGTGTTCTTTCACTCATTTGTTCACAGAACTTTTCTATGGAGAAAATTTAGCTGAGATATTTGGTGGGTGTCTATTCAGGGTTCAATGTTATGAAGATCCTAGTTGTCATCTCCTGAAATAACTGCCTGTTAGATGTGCAGACCCTATAGTTTTGCTACCTGATCTGGAGTTTTTCTACAGCACAAAAGAAATGAGTGGGACCTAATTTCTTTTTAGCCACTTGTTTTTGTATTTAAATGCTTGAATACCTTTAAATTTGTTGTATTGTGTGAGGCTCTTATTTATATAAGCACTACTTTAATGTAGATATTCCAGCTACCATTTAATAAAACATACTGTTGGGTTTTTGGTGGCTTTTGTTTGGTTGGTTTTTTTTTGTTGTTGTTTTGTTTTTTTGTTTTGTTTTTTTAGATCGTGTCCAAATAAATCCTGTTTCAGTGTCAATAAGGTAACTTAAGCTTCTGCTTCTCTTTGACTCTTTTCTTATTGGATATGTGTGCAGATATGAGGACAGCTGGTAGATGTGAACCAAAAGTTCAAAAATGTTGATGAATGTTAATTATGCACTGATTGTTTCTAGTTGACATACTTTATGTACAGGTTTATGTTACCTGGAATAATATTTTTATGAGGGCAGTTAGCCAGAGAAACCCAAATTAATTTCTGCTTATGTATTCTATAATTGAATCTGTTTACTTATGATTAATATGGACTCCTTTGAATGTGACAATGCTAAATTTTTAGAATTAAAATATTATAACAGCCAAGCTGGACTGAATGAAACTATAGAATACTCAGATGAAATAAAGCCAGGATACAAAAACGAGTCCTAATGTATGGTGGGAAAACAACACAAGGCTTTCTTAGCATCCTTATAGAATAAGTTCTTAAAGGATTTAGCTTTTACTAGCTTTTTTTCCAGTTTTGGCATATTCTATTATTGCTTATCTAGTGCAAATCTGAGAATCTTCTTGAGTTTTTTTTCCTTAAATTCATGCTGAAAACTTTTTTTTGAGGAGGCAGTTTGTATGGTCGAAATTTGATAGATGAGTAACTTGTGATTTATGTCTAGGAAAATATTCAGAATAGAAATCTGAAATCTACTACTTGTCTGGATACGGCTGCTGATCATAGTGTGTAAGTAGTTATCACATTTTCAAACAAAATTTCCAGATACCCTTATTCAACTTTGAAAAATAATCATTTATTCACTCACAAAACTGATTTCTGCATCTGTTTGACAGGTATGATGTGTACAACTTCAACGTCAGTGTGTTTAATGAGCCTACAATAAAAGTCGGAGTAAGAATATAACTGAAATGCTTATGTAATTAATAGAATGTAAAGTAGCTTCATCAAATTAGTTATGTCTACTGAAAGTATCATCACCAGTTAAAACTCAAATTAGCATCACTGAAAGGAGTGAGGGAAAATAGCTTTGCCATATCCTGGTTTTTATGTTCATACACCTCCATCGCTTTCAGATGTATGATGGTGTATGCTGTCTTACAGTTCTGGCCACTTAAAGGGTTTTCTTGAACTAAGAATGAAACAGTTCGTTGGGAGTGTTACATATCTGTTATCCTAAAAACAGTATTGCCTTCTTTTCAATTTCCTAGCTTGTAAAGCTGGCTTTGCCCAGCTGATTGAGTAAAAGGAAAAGGTAAATGAAAAACAATGTTTTGCCTTTGTTGTTAAGCAGAGCCTGCTGAATAGGTGACAGTAGTGGAAAAAAGTGGTTGGAAACTAATGAATTGTTTGAAGACATGAAAGCTTCAATCAGTTCCGGTTGGTTTCAATTATCCGATTTTAAATAATTTCCAAGATGGAAATTAAGTTGGAATTTGATTGCTGAGTATAAAAACTGAGCTAAAAAGCCCTTAAGTGTGTTATCTGGTGGCCTGTTTCATTTTGTTTAAAAAGAATAATGAAGAAAAATTTTAATTTGTTTCTCATTTATTTACATTTTTCTAGATCCAAGACTGCTGTGCTAAGGAAGCAAGCACTCATACAGATCCAAACAAAAAAGAGTATGGATGTCATTTTGTATTTTTGTCCTTTGATTATAAGCAAGTACAGTACTGTCTAAATTCCCTGCCATTCCATTGTGACAATCCAGGGAACGTGTATATCTGTACTGCTTCTTTTCATGCAGTAAACATAGTTGCTGTCATCTCCTAGGCTGTTTTATGGTTTTTCTTTGGAAAACTTCTACGTAACTTGTAAAAATAAAGACTGTGTTTCATGAAGGAAATGCTCTTCAAAATTCTCCTTGTGGAATACTGAAGGGATTTTAATCTCCTGAAATGGGGTAGCTTTTTGTTAACGTCTAGCTTGCAAAGGGACACATTGCTAGGCGTGCTGTTACTGATCTTTAGCAAATACATGCATGCTTCAGGGCTTACAGCAAACAGGTCTTTCTAAAATGAGTTTCAAATGAAAGCTTGGTACAGCCATTTGAAACCTTAAGCCATACTTCAGATGGAAAGCTGAAAAATGTGGTATTTTAAATGTTGATGTGTTGTTTAAGGGTGTTTTTTCTTTTTTTTAATCAAGGAACCCAGTTGAAAGTAAAACTAGCTCTGAAATGAAATCAGGAAGAAAAGTAAGGTTCAGATTTTTTGTGAATCATCTTACCTTGTCTTTCTGTATTTAAATACCAGTGATGAAAGTGAAAGATATATTATAAAAGTAAATGAACAACACAGAACAATTTTTTTTTTACAGACTAGATACAATCAAAGCAAAAAGCATTTTTTCAGTGACACAGACACAGAATACAGAGGAGATGACAGCAAGACAGACATCAGCTGGCTACAAAAATCCAAAGCACCATCTAAGCCACAGATAATTGATTACAGTAGAAATAAAAACTTAGGGAAGTCAAAAAGAGAAGGCAAAAGTAAGAATCCTTCTTAATTTCTTAAATATGCTGCAATAAAATTTGTCCATTAGAGTACAGCTTGTGGCAGCTTTTATTTTTACATATAGTAGGTTTTAGTTGTTCCATTTCCAAGCACAAAGACTTCTTGAATCTGATCTCCTAACCATTTAGAAAGGTTAATTTCCAGAAAGTCTGCATTTTAATATATAAAATTATTGGAGAATAGGACTCAAGGAGGTTTTTCTCAAGAAAAAACAACCCTATCTTTTTAATAAGTGCACTGAAGGTTGTTTACTGGACCATCTTTGTAGTGACAAAATTGTTCAGTGATTTAACAGTTGAAACTCTCTAAATGTTGAGAATTTAATGATGATGCTGATTTTCTATTTTTATGTACTGTAACATCAGAGAAGTTCTCTGAACTCCCTTGCTGGATGGATACACCCAAAGGCAAAACAGCAAAAGAGAAAAAGGTAAATGTAAATTTTGCAAACTGACCTGAAATACATATTCATTCCAGAAACTGCTTTTTACATATTTTTTTCTAAATACGTGCATTTCTGCACATCTACTGCAAGGTCACTTTCTAAATAAAGTTAGCTGCTTACAGGTGCTATAGTTTTTTTAGGTAGTATTTAGTAAGTATTTCAGGCATAATACAAGCTGTGAGTTAGAAATATTACTGTACTTCAATACTTTTGTAAGTTTTTTTTACTGAACTATTGATTATATCTATTTACTGTGTAATAATAATCTACTCCACTGAATGTGTCATTAGCTTTTTGCTGAGGGTTTTCATGTGGCTAATATGCTTAATTGCACATCAGTGGCTCTGAGATTATAGCCTCTTTAATTGAATATAGGCAATGTACTGAAACTAAAGAGAAAAATGCTTCACATTAATGAGGAATAATAATTGGAAGGTGTTGTGAGCCTATTAAAACTTTGGGTATAATAAATTATGAGTATGTTAGTGTAAGTTCTTTGTAAATACTTGTAAACCATAGCTTTGAAAGAAACAAACATAAACAAATGTTACTCTGTCCCCTTCAAACCACTTTTTGGTCTGTCAGACTGTACTATAATTATTTAAATCTCCTTAATGGTAGTAGCTTAAAACTGTTCAAGTGCATTCAGTTTAAATTGTGAACATGAAAATACTGCTGTTTGTATGTACCAGTGGTGATGTCCATGTAAATCAAATCAGCGCTTTGAGTATTTAATTAATCAGCACTGAATAGGTGTACAACTGTCCTTTTTTTAGTAGCAAGCTTCCCCAGAACTTCCTGTTAAGGTTAATTTGAAATAATGGATTTCAAGTAATTGAAGTAGCTTACCTGCTGTTTACTCTTCCATATTTATTATTTTGATATGAGTTGAAGATGTTCTTATTTTTCCAAAGCTGAGTGAACGTAAAAAACAAAGTTCAGTAATTGATGACATGATGGAACAAACCACCAGACCAAAACGACCTCAAAGAGCAGTGCAGCCAAAAAATTACAAAGATCCTTCCAGTTCAGAGTCAGGAAGTGAATTTTCAGCATGTACCTATAAGAGGGCAAAATCAAAAGGACAGGTATGCAGTTGCAGTGTAAAAAATCTACTTGTGCCCTGTTTTTCAAACTAGACTCTGGTTTACTTTTCGTTTTATGCTCCTGAATCTTAAGTTTCCAATACGAACGAGTTGTGTCATTTTTAAATTATGAGTAGTTAGCTGCTAAGGAAATACATTCAAAATAGTCACAGTAGCATGTCAGCTTCTGTGTATGAAATGTATTCAGCTGTGAAGTGCTGCTGTATCCTTTATTTAACAACACAAAAAACTTTTTTTGAAAACATGTATGCTTTAAATGAAAGATTTAGTAAGCCTGGGAGTTGTTGAGATGATGTGATTCTGACAATGCTATGCCAATTCTGCATGCAATAGAAAGTACTGAATTGATAGAGGGGGGTTATGTCCATACATTTGTTGAGAATCTAAATAGAGTTTAATTAAGTGGTGATGAGTGCTAAATAAAACCAATTCATTCATTTAACATCACATTTCAATCTACATGGAAAAGCCTGTTGACTTAGTTGGTTGAATTCTGAAGCATCGGGATTTGTCCGTAATGGTTCAGAACTTTGTAAGAATAGAAATTTGGCTTCTGAATTATGCTCATGCAGTGCATATTGACATTAGAGCAGCTGATGTCCTTCTTAATTATATTCCTTTTTGGATCTTTTGTTTGTTCAACTGTGCATAAAAATAATTCTCTCTTTACCTATCTGTATGTTTACAAGTAATGTTTATATTGACTCATTATTTTAATAGAAAGGTGTGAATGAGAAAAACAAAGATGGTAATCATCAGAAGGATCTCCAGAATTTGGTGGAGCCAAAGACAGCAGCAAACTGTGTAAATAAAGCATTTATTAAATCAAAGAACTCTACAGAACAAGAGGAAATTGAAATGTCTTCACCTGAGAGTCCTGCATCTCTAGAGACCATGAGATGTATGCATTTTGATTTTAGTTTATAGAAATACCACAGCAAGTGTTGGTAGTTAAAATGAAGATTGACACAGTACTACAATTTTACATTTATTTCATGGCTTTAACATGAGATCTCCTAAATCAGTGTGTATACTACTTAATTTAAGGAAATGTGTTAATGTCATTAACTCTTTTATAGATTTTTACACTTGTTTGATACCAACATTTTATAGTTGTGTAAGTGAAAGTAGGCTGTTAGAATTAATCTGCTAAACAGCTAAAATAATGTGGGGGATGCAAAAAGCACCGTGTGGCAAGAATTATACCAATAAGTGGAGTAAAATTTCCCCCATCTGTGACTTGTAAACACCTAGATTAAGGACAGTCAGCAGTATGGGGCTTTAGCATGCTGGGTTTTTTTTTTTCTTTCATTCATGCTGAAAGTTAAGAAATTGTTCTCTAGGTGCTGAGAGAACATCAGAGGGATGTGTTACTCAAGACCATACTTCTAGTGAGGGGTCACCTGGTCTTCAGAAGTCAACACCAGAAAAAAACGAAACAGTAGACTTTGAGAAAGGAATCTCTCCAAGTAATCTCTGTCTACAAAAGAAAAATACTCAACATATGCATCTAAACCAGTCTCCTGAAATGACTGTTACAAAGTTAACACTTGGAAAGAAAAGTTTTTCACCAGTTCTAACTGCTTCATCTTTGGTAAGAATGTTAAAGGTACTTTACAGTTATTTTAACTGAAGTTATTCCATTCAGCTGCTACATGTCTTAATGCTTTTGGAGATCTCATTTCAATAATGTTTTTTTATTTGTTAATGTGTAGCTCAACTTAACATCAGTAACCCCACATAAAGCATACTGTGGAAAAAACACAGAGGGATCTGTATCTGAAACATGTAATGCTGATGAAAATTTAAGTTTTAGACGTGGCTTTTCAGACAAAATTTCTATTGAAGGAAAACAACAAGACATTACTAAACCTGTCATGAAAAAGAAAGGAGAGGTATGTTACTAGATTCAGTGCTCCTTAGAAAAAAGCTGCTGCTTTTCACGTGTTTTATATACTTTACATTTCCCTGAGATCTCATCAAGTGTATTTTTCTTACTTAATGTTAAGCACCAGATATAATGCTTGCTTGTGACTTCCTTGAAAAACACTCATCCCTCAACAATACTACTCAATTTTTAAATACTTGAAATAATGTAAGGAGATCTATAAAGAAAGAATTGTATCCCAACAAGGCTAATTATATAAATATCTTAAAAATATATGAATTTTTTTTCATCTTGAGCTTCAATGTGAATGATAAAATATCTTTCATACATTCCACAATCGTGACACTTGAATGGAGAAATTCTTGAGGTAGGAAAGTACAGTACAGTAATGTATTACTTAATGTAACAACTGTTGTAGCGTTGGCAAATTAAACAGAACTCTACACCTTCAACCCATTTCTCATATTCTTTTTTTTCCTGGTGAATAAAGTGCTTTTGACTCAGTTGGGAAATAATGTTTGTGTACCATTGCAAGTAGCCATTAGTTCTTACTGCTTATTTGTCTTTTTCCTATGATTGTTTATTTCTTTTAGGAATTATCTCCAGTATCTGTGTCCACTGGAAGTGAAGTACAGTCTTGGAGTCAAGAACCTTATGGCCCTGCACATGAGTCAGGTACAAACACTCAATTTAAGGCAAAAGACTGTGGCTTTCTGTGTGACTGTATTGGTTAAGAAAAGCATTTATTCACCACAGAAGATTCAAATAGTTGTGCCATGTTTCTCTTTATAGTTTTTCAGTATCATTCAATATTTTTTTTCCTATTTTCTCTGCTTTAAGTACCCTCCAAAAACTGGAACTTGGGCTCCAAAATGCAGTTACTGTAAAGAGAGCTTGTTCTCTTCAGAAAGTAGTAGATCAAGAAGCATTCTCACTGATACTGTGTGCATGGGGGGGGACGGTGAGGGGGAGGAGAAGCAATAATGGTATTATCTGGAATATAGGGTTGATAGTGAATCTCTTTAATAAGAGAGAAGTCTTGCATGAGTAAAAAAGTTCTGTATTCCACTGAAATTTGGTTCATGAACATGAAGTGGTCATTATCATCTGAACATGCCCTGTATAAATGCAGTGCTCTTTTTTTGTTTAATGGTTTAATTGCATTTTGAGCCAGAGGGCCAACAAACTTTTCATCTTCTGATCCTATTGTTCCAAATAATTCTAAAATGAAACATTTTTTCACATTTATTCAAGGGCCAACTTCACATGTATTTCTCAAACGAAAGTATCAGCGAGATACAGAAAGCCATTCTGATGAAGTAGAAACAAGCAAAGAGGAGGAAAAGAAAAGAAGCAGAAGAATAAAGTTACAGCCTAGGAAGTTATTTAAAACAGATGAAGCTGTTACTTACAGAGGTTAATTATGAAATAAAAGTTGATTATAGTTGTGGAGAAGTTTGACAATAGTGTAACTTAGTTTCAATCCAAGAAGGTAATATCCATAAAAGTTTCAAAATGGTAATATCTATTGTTTCAAAAAAATATGCAAAATATTTAGAAGCTCTCCTTTTTAACAGACAGAAATTGATATGAAAATAGAACTGGATCAGCTGTCTACTTGGGAAAATTAATCTGTTTATAATAACAGCCCTGTTGCTATTAAAAAGGATACTTCACTCTGAAGTATGATGTATGTATGAAGTATGATCTTTCTTTTTTTTTTTTCAACATTACAGAGTATGAAAATTTGTCCTCTGTATCTGTAAGTGATCCAGCTGCTTTGGATGTGGACATCTGGGAACCTGGTTGTTCAACTATCGATATATGTCAGAAGCTCCAAAAAGAATACACTAAGAAAATTGAGGCAAGATATTTTATGTATAGTGTTAGATATGTATGTGGTTGAATGTCCATATGAATTGTAGTTTTGTCTTACATTACAAAATTTGCTTAAAAAAGAAATTAAAAAATCAAAGCATTGTAGAGCTTTTAGAAATTCGTTAAAGGGAAAAAAAAACACAAGCCAAAACAATGCATCTGCTCACCTAAGACAGCTGCAAGATTGCAGTTTTTCCTCCATGTGTGCTTTCTCTATCCTCAGGAATTCTGTTTTTCAAGTAGTGTATTTCTAATTCTATCTTAAAAAAAAAAAACTTAAAAATAAAAAAAAAAAAAGGGAAAAAAAAAGGGAGAGAAAAACTTATTATTTTATTTGATACTATTGCTTTTTTCTTCAAGTGAAAATGATCTGCAAGTAATGTTAAAATACCTCTACAGAGCCGTTCACGGAAAATGGAGCATTTTGCAAAGCAGTCATTAAGAGCTGCCAACCAGCATTTGACAACGTTGAATCAACAGCTTCTTGAATGCAGGTCTGTAAAGAAATAATTATCTTAAAACAATTAAAAATCAGTTAATGCCTTCTAACCTTTTCTGGTTTTTTTTTGTTTGTTTTGTTTTGTTTTAATAGGCTCAAGCAGCTGGACAGATTTCATATTATTATTCTTCAGGAAATTGAGAATTTTGAGAAAGATTCTCAGTCCCTGAATAACATGGAGAAAGAATTACTGGTTTGTTTTTAATTACTTTATCACATAAAAAACAAGTTCTTGTGAAATCTATGGATTACTTATAAGTTCTCTCACTTTACATCATTAATTCTGATTTTTAAAAAACCTCTTTGTATTCCTTGTAGATGAGTCAAGTTTCAAATAATGAATTTGAAATGTCAGGATTTGATTATGCTACGCTGTTAGAATTTCTGTCACTATTAGGTTTTCTTCCTGGAACAAACAACTCATGCTACTTCTAATGGGCTGTTAATGCCATTTCATGAGCCTTATTTCAATTGGCCTGCATTTCAGGCTGTGTGTTCTGAGAGTCAGTTGCCTGCTGCATGGTGTAGTGTGAAATTAAAAAAAAAATGTTCTGCCAACCAAACTTATGTTTGTTTGCTTTAAAGCCTCAAAGGTGACTATTTACCTACGTTACATTCTGTGCTGAGCCTATAATTGTAGTTTATAGTATTCAAATTAGATTGTAGTCATTCCTGGTTTAGAAAATACCAGTTACTGTTGGCTGTCATCTGTTAATATCTTTCTTTCCAGACTTTTTGGAAAAAAAATAAGCATACTTTCAGTACGTTCATGAAGAATGAGCAACAGAGGTGAGTAGGCTTTATTGGTGATGTTTCAAAATTCCTTTTCTGATGTAAATTCAAGAAAAGTAAGCTACCTTCTGTTTTTTATGCAATTGCTCTCTTCCATAAAATAAGGATAACAGGCGAGATGAGAAAAAGAGATTAAAACATAACTGTTCTCCAATAGCAATAATGATGTTAAGACTTATTCACACATTTAAGTGCCATTAGACTACAAATAATGAGATGTACTAATGATATTTGTGAAATGTTCACATATAACAGGTCTATTTTAATGGACTTATACTTCTTTAGGCTGCAGATCCTTAAAACATCCTTTGAAAAGAATATCCACCATAGTGTTGACTATGAAGAAAATATTTTTACTTCAGAGGTAGTACAAGCTTTCAGTTCTTTTTCTGGTTTTAATCAATTTTATTTCTTCAGTTATGCTAACAGATACCATTATTCATTTTTTTTTCCAAATAAATTCCTTATTCCTTATAGAATTGCATTAATGCCACGTAGGTATTTTCATAGCTTTTCTCTGTCATCAAATACTTGTAATGCAACAATATTCTGTGCTTAAGGGCTAGATTCCACCCATTAGGAGGTGCCTACAATTATCTGTAAAATCACTGCAAGATGATTGCTGTATTCTGTGACTGTTCACCATGGTTACTCATTCAAGAAAGATCAACATAGATGCAAACAGTCTCTCTCCTTAAGCAAGTAGATGGATGTACATCCTTTTATTTTACAGTTTTAAGCCCTTTAGGGATGTAATTGTTGTGCTGAAAATGTGTTATCAATTGAGAGCAGAGACGATGCATTTGGTATAAGTACCTTTTTATAGGTGCATCTGATGAAAGAAGACATGAAAGGACTCCAAGAGAAATTTCTTAAAGAAATGGTAAATGAAGTTGTCTTCCTTTTTATTTGCTTATGATAATGTAAGTATAGTTGTTTGAACATTAGATTTTACAGCGTTTAGCAATTTATGTCCTATCAGGGGGGGGAAAAAAAAAAAAAAAAAAAAAAAAAAAAAAGAGAATCTAAGAATTACTGGTATTAAATATTTTAAGCATTTTAAGTGAGTGATGAAAGTAGCAAGTATGGATATGCTATTTGATTTCTGACTCTTAGTATTTTGAATGTTAACATGGAAAAGTATCATATTTCAGATACTTTATAAGCAGGATACTATACACAAGAAATACAATGTGGAAGAAAAAGGTTTTATTCAAAGTAAGTGGTAACTGTAATGCTTTCTGCACAGCAAGAAGAGGAACTGATTAATGTTCGCAGAGGATTGCAGACATTATTTCTAGCAGAAGATGGAAAATTCTGAAGTAGTACTTCCATGTACCTTCCTGAAATTCAAGCTCAATATAAACACTCATTTTCAATACAAAATTTGACTTTTTTTTTACTTAAGGAAACTACTGTAATGAAAACATATTTTCCTTAATAAAGTTGAAGTCTTTTTACTCCGACTTCTCCATAAGACTTATCCCATTATTAGAAAAAAATTGGGATTTTACTGAATCTACTAAAATACAATACATATAATTTTTTTTATTTTTAGCTAATGCTGTTTCTGAGGAAGTCTTTATTAACATTTTTCATAGGTTATTTAACTGAACTTTTAGAGAAATCACTTCAAATTTCACTTCAAATCTATCTCTTGGGTTGTTGTGTACAGAATACCACTTTTCATCTTTTTTCTGATCCAGAATACAATAAGAAATTATTTGAAGATCCAGTCTCATGTGCTGATTTAATCCTATTCATTTGTGGCATTGTACTTCAGTAAGTTTCTAACAGAAAATGACTGTAAAATTTTATGGTTGAACTATATTGCAAATATTTATATTAAATATTTCATGAAAAATGTAGTGTTTGTCTTGTTTTTACTTCATTTCCAGAGAGAAAAATGACACGATTCAAAATTCAGTGGTAAGCTAAAAGTTAAAGTAGAAAACTCTTTGAAAGTTCCTCAAAGAAAATGGGAAATCTTACTGATTTCTAAATTACCTGTGGTAACTAACACAATACAGTCTCTGTTTCTAAGGAAAGTCCATAGTCATATAGAGTAGCTTGAACTCAGCAATTTGGAAAGCTAGCCTTACTCGCCTTGAGCAAGGGATTTGACTCAGTGACCTTCAGAAAGGTTCTTTCCAGCTTAAATTAATCTATGACCTTACATGAAAATGTTTATTGAAAATACCCTCTTTATAAAGCAACTTCTTAGGTCAGAAATGGCTGTGAGACATTTCCATCCCTCATGCACTGGGAGTAGAATGGAGAGTGAGTGCTCTTACACCACGGAGTGGAAGTAGCTTATTGTGAATATATCGTTTTAAATGAAAAATACTTCTTATAAATTAAACTTTAAACATATGAGTCTGTGTTCTGCCAGGGAAGAATTGAAGTAGAAAATAATGTGGTCTATTCATTCCATCTACGTAATTACAGCACAAAACTTTTCTAATTTTTGACCGTTTTTTTTAAGCCTGCAATCATTGCCGTCCCCACTAGATGGACCTCATGAGATGCAGAGTTCTTCACTGATCTAATCTGTGTTTTAAATATTTTCTCTGAACTGTACGGGGTTTTTAAAAGTACACTTTACAGCCCAAGTTTTATTTTTTTTTTAACACTGCACACAAATTGGAAAAAATAATGTTATTTTTAGTAAGGACTTCTATTGAAATAGAAGTATGAAATTTTACTATCCATCCTCTAGTCTTTACTGAACCCCATTCACTTCTAAAAACATTGAGCAAATGCAACCAAATTCAACGAAGATACAAATATAAAGCATCATGATGAAGTATTCACAGAAGCACAATATCTTTTAGTCTGTGGCTTGGAAAATCCAAAGTCATTCAAAGCAGACTAAAATGACAGCAACTGTGTGCTGGAGGACTGTTTCTTTTTTTCTTTGGGTAAAGATCAGCACAGGGAAAATGGCCTCCCTGGGCTAAGCTACCTTCTGTGAAGAGTATCTGAAGTTCTAACAGAAGCAGGCGCACTATAGCACATGAAGTCTCCAAACGACTTGCTAGATTTGCCCATCAGCAGACTAGAGTGGCATTGGTCAGCTGACAGTGATCGTGTGTGGCTCTGAAGTAGTCACTATTTTATGTCTCTTACCAGAGCGAAGCAGAAAGAAGGTTAGGATGCTTGTGATGGATGGACAGCTGAGGATGTGGGGAAGAACCTTGAGCACGCTGCTGCACAACTACAAGATAGCTAAGTGGAAGTAGTAATACAGCTCATAGGCACCGTTTGGAATTAAAAAAAAACTAAGATACCCTTAAAATATTTATTGTATTTTTTAAACATCCTCTCAATGTATGTTACACATGAAGGTCTGCGCTGTCTGCACCGGTGCTAAACAGGCATGTTACTTTCATGGACTATTGGTTAAATCTGTAGTTAACAGTTTCTAAGCTAAACGATGTGGTTCTGCCTATGAGACACTTCTCTCCTTCTTCTAACCCTTTTTTGTACATTACAGCTGGAATGTAACTACCAGTAAGTATTGCATTAATAAAAAATTGTTGATAAATACAATAAACTGTATGTTAAAAGGTCATTTACATATTTCTGTGAAAAGCCAAGTTAAAAAACTGCAATTAATAGAAAAACAATCTTTGGATCAAGTATTTGGGTGATTCAAGTCTTTGATAAGTAAAACGAACATTAAAAAGATGTACAAAACTACAGCTAGCTACAGAGCAAGCTGAATTATCTGTGTCAATTTGATTGGTCCAGGGCATGATATCTCCTGTGATTCATCAGTTTCTTCTAGGGCTGCCCTTATGCATGTTTTGTGTTACACTGTATGTTCTTACCTTCAGCTCTTAAATGTTAGTTTACCTGAAGTGTAATGCTATTTGTATTCTTGCATTCCCACACTGAGCAGCTGAAAAGGCCCAACGTCCATCCGCTGTTTGCAGTTTCTATTTACTAGCTGGCAGCAATTTAGAAGTAGTCTATGCAAACAATTCTACGTACCTTTAGTTTCTTGATTATTTCCATGCTTTGTGGCTTCATGGAGATCACCTCAACAAAGCTGTAACACAGCACCCTCTTCAGATTTCTGACGTTGAGTCACTTCCTAAAAGGACAGCATTTAAAATACCTGCAGAGAAATTTTTGTCTTGGGAGTTTGCATCATTTTGTTGCTGTCCCATAAGGCATCCTTTCCAGGTATCAGTGTATTTTTTCTTTTGTTCGTTTGTTTGTTTTCCTTGAGAAGAATTCTCAGATGTTTTTAGATGTCAAGCATTATTAGAAATGTCTCGCTTTTATATTTTTCTAAACCAATTCTATTTACTTATCATCAGTTAGTAACTTCTTTCCTTTTACTATCAAGAAATCATTAAACTATACATATACATTTTTACTATTAAAAACATTACAATAATTTGTTTCTTAAGCATGAAAGTACAATTTCCTATCAATTGTTTATGTACGGTTGTGCAAACTGGTAACATCTAATGAGACTAACTGAACTTATCTGTCATTCTCTGCCATTACTGTGTAATGACAATACGGTATGCAAAGGGCCTGGTGCAAAATGCTGCTGTTACGTAAGATGGAGGTCCTTCGCTAAAATGACCTTTTTGAAGATTCCCTGTTGATAAAAAAGGGATGTGATGTAGTGCATAATAACTGAAATCCCTTCCCAACAGTCCCTGGGAAAAAACATCTTCAGGAAACATGTTCATTTCCTGCAATAAGTAATCATTTAATTAAGGAACAAAAGTAACAGGAGTCAAAAATGCTTGCAGCTGTGTTTGTTAGACAATATATAAAAAAAGAATGAAATTATAATACATTAAATTAGTTTTTAGAACATGAACTTAAGCGTTTTACAAACTAATTGTGGTAAGTTCAAAATGTCTTGTCAACGTAATACTGACTGACAGTGCGTCATGTCCATTATGTCAGAGGCCTTGGAATGGTAAAGCCTGTACATGCACATCTCCTTTTCCATGACAGACTGCAAAACAGTTTAAAACAAGTGGTAAAGGAGAGTAGTAGGTTCTTTCAAGTAGTTTTACTTCAGTCTTTTTCAGCAGCTAATCCCATTCAACAGGCCATTGCTCTTCTGGCTTCAAGGTGAAGAACATCTCTGGTGTTTCCCTCTTTATTGAAGTGCTGCAGAGTTTTCATCCGCAGTCCTCCTTTCTCATCAACATCAAGGTATCCAGGACTGAACATTAGGGAAAGATGATTCCCTGACGTGTGTTCAGCAGCAATATCAAAAAGTAAGGGCAGATTCTTCTCAGAAGAAAATTTCTATGGCCTGTGAAATCTAGGACAAATAAGAGACATTTTTAAACTACTTCAACATTTTAAAAATATACAATTTAAAAGAATTCTGGTTTAGATTATTAACTTTTTAAAAATCAATGTTCATTCTCTTTAAAGGCACATTGACAGTATTATAGGATATTAGCAACTGTAAGCAGGTTTAATTTTCATCGACACATTTCCACATGTATGCCATGACTGCAGTGCAGTTACAGTTCTCAGGGTCCAGCCAAGCCATTCTGCAGTTATCAGGAAATGCAAACGTAAATGTACATGGAGCTTTTTGTTTTTTTTCTCCTTTAGGAATTAGGCCACAGTTTTTATTGCCAGTAACATTCTTTTCTGAGCCATGATCTTACTATTTTGTAAGAATAAGGCTAGTGCTTTGGAAAATAGGAGATATACTGTTAGATTAATACATGATAGTCTCACTCTCTGGAATATATATGCTCTTGCTCTGTACGTGTGTTCTCTTAACTGAGTGCAATTGAAGTCCCAGTCAGCTGTAATACTTCAGCAGTAATTGTAAATTATAAGTCTGTTTGCTCCAAATATCCTGACCAAATTTGAAAGTGCATCATTGTGATCTGCTTAAATTTCCCATGTAGCTCACTTAGGAGAAGGTATTTTTTAATTCTAGTCTTAACTGCACCCTCTAATTTTTTCTTGTATTACTCTGTCAATGCAGTGGTGTTTTGCCATATACACTGAGTCTGAGCTCTGCAGTGTAAAAGGGCTCTAAGAATTGCATGGACACTCTAGAATTCTATCACCATAACATTCAGATTAACGTGCACTGTATTATGACTTGTGTATTTGCCTAGATCGTCTTTTCATTGACCATGCCAAGCTCAATTAAGATCAGATTAACTCTAGCTCAGAAAAATGGAAATGCTGGTGTGCCTTCCAGAAAATGGGACTGCACGAAGTTCCTAAGTACAGTGTTAGGCAACTTATTTTAGCAGCAAGAGAATGCTTACAGACCTAGCAAGAGTACACTGTGCTATCAGCAAGTCCCACAATCGTGTTTTAAGAGTAATAGGACTCACTTAACAGACATCGCAAAAATTGTACAAAATAACTGGTTTCTATTTAAATTTTTCTGTAAGCAACAAAGTCTTTTTGCATAGAGCTTAATGGCTTCTCTCACAGTTGCTGTCTGGTGGAAAATCTCAGTGGTTTCATGAATGTTTAGACATAAATCTGTGATAGTGCTGTGATGAGGCAAGGGCAGGACTTGCCAGACACTCAGTGGCCCAGCCACTTGGGCAGTGCCAAGAGTGCAAGCCAGTTTTCTGTCTTGCTTCTGCTTGTCTGCCACTAACTGTGCTTTTCAGAACTGCACCTTCCAGTAGCAATTGGACTGCTGTTCAAGTGATGCAAATCTACAGGCTCCATCTTCTACACCGAGTCTAGTATGTATTATGTATGGGCATTACTCCCCTGCTAATGGGGGAATCAGAGCAGTATGCAATGATGTTGCATGTTCAAGTGCGTTTAAATATTAAGTTTTTGGGTTTTTTTTTTTTTGCTGTTGTACCCTTTATTAGCAAGCAATGGAAATAAACAGCTGGAAGACTGACCTTGTCAAATGTTTACTTGATGCATGTACTTCCATTTCATTACTTTTGTATTCATTTAGCTCTTTCCGAATTGCTGCCTAGGAATTGAAAATAGAAGAGAGTTAACAAATAATTTTGTACTTATAAGCACTGTAAAATAGCAGTCTCACAAAGCAGAACATGAGTTTCATTAAGTAGAAATAATAGGTGTTGTGTACAGCAAGGCACACTATGCCAGTAGGGATGCTGAATATTTAGGTTATATAGATTGCTGATGATTTTATGGATTGCTAGAGAAGAGCTAATATAGGAAAAGATAAAATATTGTTCCTTTTCTATGTAAGTCTTCTAAAGCCATTTATTACACTTCTTACTTGGGAAATACTGGAATGAAGAACAAAGAATTTGATTTCTGCATCTCAGACCAAAGCAGTAAGTAATCCGGCCGTGTATTTGCCATCTTATCCAGTAATTATCCTCGCATCTGCACTTGTTCTATTTGCTGCATCCCTGAAACTTCAGAACTCCTTATTCAGCAACTGTTCTAGCTGGAATCATGCTGAACTCTTTTGGTTGTATCTCAGGTACTTAAACATGAAAATTAAATTCGTGTGTAAATTAGTTATGTGGCAGGTAGATAGAGCAGAAACAAATGCTTGTTTATGCTTGTGAAAATGAAAGATCAACCAACTCCACGATATTCACAGGAAACGGGAGAGGAAATATTGCATGTTTCAAAACATAGTGAAGGGCATTTGCATGTCTAAGAAAAAAACTTCCAGTTGGAGGATGAATGTTAACATTGCGTGCTCACTGGAAGTGATTTTGAGCTGCAGCCTAAAGCATGAAAAAGGACTGTATCCACCTTTCCCTCCCTCCCTGCATCAATGGATAAGCTGACCTTTATAGTACTAAATAAGCATTTTTTTATAAATAGCATTTTTTATGACAGTATACAATGGTCAGTGTGTTTACAGCATATCAAATAACCATAATGTTTACAGAGGTAAAATGTCCTTGCAGAATCCAACGTGGCTTTTTACACAAGCCAAGAAGAAAGCAATAACACTTCAATTATGTCAGTACCTTATCGGCTGCTGATAGTCTTGTCCATGGTTTATCTGCTCGTCTGTCATAGTCCTGTGCTTTTGCCACTTCTACATAATCACTGAATCGAATCAGGATCTTTCTGTCTCTTAGTTCATCTACTGTAGGTCTCTGGTTAAGCTGCATTAAATAGTTTTGTAAAATAGAGCCAATATTAGTAACCAACATTTCAAGAAACTGTGCAATATTTTCTGCTTGCCATCTTAGCTTAGTGTGCATTTATGTGTCTGAATAAAAACACCTTGGAGATTCCATGGAACTATTAAGTTCTTTAGACTATTGTTATGGGAGTAATAATTGTTTGAGTTGAGGTGTGGGCTACAGTGGCTTTATAATGGAGAAAAGATGAAAATATTTTGACCTTGAAATTTATAAATTGCATAAATTTAGAACAGGCAAAGGAATCACAATGAATTTGTTACATGTATAATGTAGGGTTTCTCTATTGCATTCAGCAGCAGATTGTGCAAGGCTTTCAGGATCAGACCAGTTTGGACATAACAGGTTATTGGCATATTTGGCTTATAGCTCCAAAAGGGTTTCCTGGGAACAGAATAACAAGATCTCAGAACGCCTTAAAATGCAAAGAGAAACATATTGTGGGAACACTTCTGGTGCTCAGCAGGGAGCCAGTCCAGCTCTGCTACAAAGAACGAAGTACTGCTTTTATAGCAGTATAGTTGTGAAATATGCAGAGTACAAGCAAATGCTATTTTTTCATTTAAAATTTCTATGTAAATATTCTATCAATTCTCATAGCTGAGACATGGTAGATATTCATATATTAGATACCACTATCTCAGGCACTGCTGAGGAGAAAGTACAGTGTAATAGTGACCTAGGTGACAGTTCAGTGTTTTACTAGCTTTCTAAAATCTAATGGAAGGTATTGCAAGACTTTACCTTTCTTGTCAGTCTTTGTTTGATTTCCCTTCTTTCTTCCTGTTCGGTTTGATCGTTTCGTTCTACAGAGAATATAAAAAGAAAAAGGATGATTTTCTTCATGAGGAAGAACAGTAGTTTCCAAAGCAATAAGAATTACATCACATAAAAATTAGTAGCTGGCTCTTAGCTGTCCGTTTTCTTAGTTCTGTACACCTCTGGTTCTCTACTAGAAGGTACAGTCACCTCTCTGTGAGGACAAGGTACTGGTGCCAATGACAGCTTTTCCTGAGCTCTGAACTCGAGTTCTGATTTCATAAGCCAACATTTAGATTTAAGCAGCCACACCAACTCTCAAATTGCATGAACTTGAGAAATAAAATCAAAACATTCCATAGTTAATCATCATTTTTTTGTATTCTCTGCTTTGCTGGAGCCATTATGTTGCAGTAGATGCTGAAAAGACTTACTGCAGGAGCTTCAGGGAAAGTAATGTTCTGTCCTGTATAACCTTAATTCTCAGGCTACATCTTTAGATGGTCACACTGGCACAGTAGCTATCTTTGACTTGCATGCTTTTTGTCTGTGTCACTAATATCCGAACCTCTTTATCCTCACAAGTTTTCTTTTGTAGCATTCCATTCTAACCTAAGCCAGCTAGCTTTTGTGTGTTGTGCCTATTAGCATTCAAGCCGTGACAACTCCTACACACTGGGTCTAAAAATAGAGTGGAGTGCTGTAACACTGTGTGAAATATATCCTTTGCCTTGGGATACGAGGTAATGGCATTTCTATTTCCAGTACTATCTGTTACTAAATTGAGGCATGAGCCTGTGACCTGAACAAAGCTGAAGACCTAGAGAAAAATGTTTAACCACTCTGGGATTCTCTAGTTTATTATACTCCCAGTATTAAAAATAATGTGTGTGCTTTAACTTGCCTTAAAAAGACACCAGCAGTGCAGATGAGTTTCCAAAATGATATTTTTAGTAATGAAGGACTCTGTATTTTTAAGCTCATTTGATTACAATGAAATGCCAGCATAAGTATCAGCACAGAGTAACGTAGCAGTGCACAGCCACAACTGGCTGTAGCAGAAATGTAAATCATATGAATATAAAATATTGTAACATGCCATATTAAAATTCAGTGGCAAGGCAATAAAAAGAGACTAGAGCAACCAAAATTAGTGCTGTCTCAGGGACTAGAACCGGTTTAAGAGTGAAATGTCTGAGAGGAGAATGCCTTAAAAACTAGATTGTATTCTCAGATACAGAAATTTTTGCAAGGATTTATTAATATGCTTAACTACACTTTAATTCACTCATTTTAGAGTATTATATATTTTCATATCTAGATATTTCTACTAAAAGACAATAATTTTCTGTGGTATGGTGCCTTTTAACATATCACAGTCAGAGACGCACTGAGAGAATTCCAAAATAAAAAATATAAATTTCTGACTGGAAAATTCATGTTCAAATTTGAATATACAAAACATTAGATAGTGACCCTTTCCTGTGATACATTCAGACATGCTCAGTGCTTATTCCCAGCTCCAAGAAAATGCCAAATGTGAAAACATGAGAAATAATTCATCTGGAAAATACAAAGCAAGATAAGACAGGAACTGCTAGCAAAGGCATTACAAAATTCAAGCATTATTACAGAGACAAACCAGAGAGGGTTTCCCTATCAGCATCACTCTGCCCACACATAGCTACACTCATTAGGAAGGGCTGACTTTATAAATCTCAGTAGAGGGATGCTCCCAATTATGAAGTGACACGTGTCGTACTGTAATTCACTTTTTCTGCTCTGTGAGTTATGTGGGGAATTCTTAGCTGTGCATAACACTGAAACAATTCCTGGTGATAAGAATGAGCTGGGGATTTAAGAGATGCTGCGTTCTTGAATATCAGTGTCAGCTCTCTGCTGAGTCCAAGAACGTGTAAACACCTGGGTCTTGATTTTAGTTGTGATGGTAAACCAGCAATATTTCTATCATTGAAGCAAAGGATGTAGAAGTTCAGCAAAATTGTAAGACAGTATTGGCTTTACATTTTCCTTAGCAGAGTGTGTTACTAAGAGATGCTAGGAAACTCATGAGTCAACTGTACAAACCCTTACAAACTGCAGGATGCTGTAGTGATTTCACTGAAGAGTATTCATGTTGCTACATCTTTGCACGTCAGACCAGGTGTTTAAAAACCACGACAAGAATTTCTATACTCACACTACTATCAGGAAAGTTTGCAGATTTCCACATTCACTCACAACTGAGCCTAGAGTTGTTGTACCTATCCAGCCTTTAAGATTACTGCTGTCACAGCTTAGTGATAACTTCAGTTCTTGACAGGTTCTTAACTTTTTATACAATGGAACAGGTAACTGGAATAGAAGTGACTGATCACAGAAAAATCTGTATAAAGCCTGAGCAACTGAACTGAAGTCAATGGATTTGCTTCATGTCAGGAGCTCCTTTAAATGAGATACAAATCTAGACCAGTATGTTTAGCCAGCATTCAGGAAATATCTTTAATTCTGCTTTATCTTCTTTCTGCTTTATCTCTCTCTAAGCTCATTATATGAATGTATTCAAACTTTTATTATCAAAGCTTGTCAGTTTAACCCAGATTAAGGATGTAACCAGCATTCTTCAAAAACTAAACGTAAAGGAAAGATTTTTTTGATAAAGATCAGCCCTCCCTTAAGGAACTAAATAAATAAAAAGAAAAATCACCTAAAAACAGATCTTAAAGGGGATCTGAGGCACTGACTCTTGAGAATCTGGTTCCACATTTCAGAATCTTGCATTAATGTTTTTTTTTTCTTATCTCTTGTGTAGCTGACAGGTAAATTTAGGCCAAGTTCATCCATTCACATTTTCAAAGAATGCACCGTTTCTCATTTAGCTATGTACATTTGCATCCAATCTAAGCATGCACAGTGTATGCTCTGGAAGAGTACTGAAAATATAAGTTGACCGTGGAATCCCTTTATGTCAAAAGTGAAATAAAATCTACAATAACTTCAATAGCAACTGCATAAGTTTTCCCTTTAAACTAGGAAAGTTCCGAGACATTGAATTTTAGGTAACAAAATGTGGGTAACTTTTTTTTCTTAAGAACTGCAATCACATTGAAAATAAAATATGAATTAAATACCAAAGGCAACATTGTTTCTATGACATACACCACACAGTCATATTACATGTGGCCATATAGATGTTTTATTCATGTTTAATGAGAAGCAAACCATTATCGCATCATTCCATCATTCTGCTATCAGGGTGTTGTGCTGTTTGTTTGCTTTTTACTTTCAACACTAACTAAACCATAACAATAACAGAAGCAATATTCCTTTCCTTCTAGCAGGTAGCTTCTCTCATTCTCCTATCTCAGACCCCACCACAGAGAGAATTTCAGAGCTCTTTCTCCATCTAGATCAGAGGATTCCCAAAGCATCTATCACCTGTTTGATCCCTTGGCTGCAACACCAATCTTTAGGAAAAGAGTTTTGAGTTTCTGCCCTGTGTTTATTTGAAAGACATTGAGCAACATTCTCCTGTAGCAGTATTTATAATAGGCCTGGAATTCTCCCTCTATAATTGTTAATATCTCACAATGGTAGTTCTCTGACTCGTCTTTGGAAATGTCCTCACACCTTTGCAAGGATGCTTTGTCCACTCCCCTTTAGCCAAGACAGTCAATGGCTTCAAAAATGGCAGTCTGTGTGTCATTGACTGCGTGACGCCTGGATGCTACTCCCCTCTCAGACACCCATAGCAGTGTGTTCACAATATACGTTATTTCAAAGCTGGAATTTAAGCAAGTCTCTCTTTTCTGTGCTAAACTGCACGTGTAAATTCTCATTTAGCAAAGTGTAAATTCTCATTTCTGCAATATTTGAAACACAGAGCATGTTAAACATGAAAACTTTTAGGTACAGAAAATAATCCCAGTAAATTAATATGTGAAGAGAATATGTTTCACAGATATAATTGCTGGTTTCAGCAAATATATAAAATATTTTAAGAAGAAAGTACTCACGTTTAAGTATATTTCTTCTTTCTAGCTCCTCAACAGCAGGTCTTTGGCTGAGTCGCCTGCGGAAAAACACCAAAATGACATTTTGTACCATGCTTGTTCTTTGGAAAGTCTGCAGGATTCCAAGTTCTGGTTTGTGTTTTCCTTGTGTGTGTTTATGGGTAGGAGGAGAACACGAAATCCTTCTCCAGAACTGAAGGAGAAAAGAAAAAGAAAATCCCAAACCCAAGATTCTGGTACCAGAAAGCCTTCTTGTATAATTTTTTGCCAAACGTCAGCAATGCAGGTAGAAGTTCTCCTCTAGTTTGCACTGCTGTTGGTGGAATGCTTCCTCATGACATGCATCCTTTTCACCACACTTTCCAGACAGTCAGATGGAATCAGTGCCCTCCAACGGTTAAATTCACTCTTGAGAGAGAGGGTTAAGGTGGTTTTCAAAGGAGTTTCACAGTCATCTTCTGTAGCTGTTGCTGCTTCTACCTTTTAATCTCTGTAGCAGCGGGCTTCCTTTTTTTCTAGTAACACCAGTGATGCATTCTGTCAAATGCAGACTTGCCAGAAATAAAGCTTTCCTGTGGTTTCCTGACTACACATCTAACAGACCAATCCAGCAGCTCTCCTCCTGCCTACTGAATAAAATTCGTGCGCTGCTCACTGCCTCATGCTGTCTGAACGGAGTGTCTTGTGCAGTTTCACCTCCCCTTTCTGTAGTGCTGCTTCAGGATTGAGTCTTCAAATCATATGATCAGTGCCATAGCGATTTTGTTCTGCATAGTAAATGAGATTTCCCCACGAGACACTGCCAATATCTGCAGAGAATCTCAGGTAATGGAACCCCTCCCCTAGGCAGACAGATACATACTGCATTTGCATTTGCCAGCGTTCAAGCAATAATCCAGCAGACAGATCAGAAGCAGTTTACGATGCTTCCTGATCTGTGCTCTGGCAGCATCAGGGATTCTCATTGTCTCCTCTGTGGCAGGTGTTACCAAGCCAGAGACTGAAGTTACAGACAAAGCAATACAGCAGGGACCACACTGCAAACCACAGTTGCAGTAATTATCCCTTAACTGTGCACAGGAAATAAAGGAATGATGATAAAGTGATGCTATACCAAGATCTGTATTTTACCAAATATAAAGGAAATGCAAAAAAAAAAAAAAAAAAAAAAAAAAAAAAAAAAGATTGCTCTGATAAAGAGCAAGCATCTAATTCAAATTTCTCCTTGTTTCCTGAGCCTGACCAAATATTCAGCTCTGTGTTCATATGTTATAAGACCAACAGCACAGAATACGAATGCCACTCCTTATCCTTTTCTAATTCCCCTGCAATCACTGCAAAGGCCAAATTCTGTTCTCATCTTTGGCAACAGGAATGCATCACAACTATACCAGGCTTACACCAGCAGAAATCTTACATTGTGAGTACAACTACTTCCGGACACCTGCAACCTAACGCTCATTCTTCCCACCTCACTCAGATTTTTCTCTAGGTCTCTGGATTTCTCTTCAGAGCAATAAACTGGATATTCCAGCACTGGAATCTGCAATAATCCAAACTGAAACAGAAATTACGCTGAAATGCTCCACTGAAAGGTTTAAAAGTGTATCTCTAATCTGTTACCTCTTCACTCCTCCCTCATTTTCCTTAACGTCTCAGAAGTTATGCAGCTAGGTTTGTTTGAAGGAGATCAGTGCGCGTTTTATGCTGTAACTCAGGGAAGAGTGACCTACTCACATGCTGGTCACATGCCTGCCTATCAAGCTATTCCTAATTACAGCCCTTCCATGCAAAATCCACAGATTCTCCAAGAATTTTCCATCAGAATTCTGAGACCCTCTTTAAACTGAGGGATTAAAAGCCTAATGGAGAATGATCAAAGCACGAGAAGTATGAGAATAGATATGTAAGTGAAAGCTCTGTGTATCTGTACATATATTGTTATTGTATTTATATTGGTTCATTATTTAAAGGCCTGTTTCCTTCTTGACTTTGATAAATACATGGTGGGTGTCCAGAGATAAAGTTATTTCTGTGCACAACTTCATCTTTACCCCAAGGAAAGGAAAAGATGCAGATACACACAGACAGAAATATTCGCGTGCACCATACAATATTGCATTTTTGTGTGAATTTTTCAGAGATGCGAACAGCACTTTCAAGCTTTTATCACAGCCATAAAACCAGGAATGGACTTTTCTATCAGGGAAAGTGGGGACACGGTGAAAACACACCTGAAGTCATGATGTAATAACAAAGAGGCAACACTGCTGACATCTGTTGCTGCTGAGATGCAATGGCTTCTTGTATCTACCTGCTACATCAATATTTCTGTTCAGAAGGTGCCTCCAGCTGCTGTAAAACCCCTTCCATCTGCTTTACCTGCCATGAATGCTGCACTGCAGGCAGCCCCAGCTGGTTCCCAGACAAAATGCAGGGAAATGGTGAAGGCAAAGGGCTGTGGATCCTGCACCAGGGGCTGCTGACTGTGCTCAGGGGAAGCAGCTGTGAGCACAACTCAGACAGGTGAGGGCTGGAGGGACCACACGTCTCTGCTGAGCTGCACTGGAGTACAACAGGCACTGTGCAGCTCACTGTGCTCTCCTGTGTTGCATGTGCTGTGCTGCGTTTTGGTTTTAATGTTAATTATTTCTCCAAAGTTGTTAAAACACAAAGTTCCACCACTCTGCAGTGTCCCCTTTGCAGTGAGCTCAGGGCCCCCCTCACAGCCACGCTGCCACGTTGGAAGTGGGCAGCCTGGCCCTGGGAAATGGCGTCCTGCTCTCCTCTTCCCTTTGTTTGAGAGCAGGCCGTAAGGCAGGTGCTGAGACTGACTCCAGAGAGGGGATACTCAAATCTCTTGCAGTTTAAAAAAAGGGAAACTCTGGCAGTATTATGGTTATTGGAAGTCTTTGTACTGCAGCCAGTGCGTGATCCCAGAGGATGAAGCAGGCACGGGACGCAAAGGAGACTCCACAAAAGCTAAGTACCAAACTCCCAGTGGACTCTACATGATCTTCCCAAGCTTTGCACAAAGCGAATGCTGGAGCACAGAGCTGCAGGCCATTTCAGAGCATAGTGCTGATTCGTTTCCTGGGAGTTTAGCAAAGCAGCTGCACCTGGGGGTGGGTGGCTGCAGGGCTCCTGCCCTCCCCCAGCCTGGCCCCCCAGCTCTGGGGGTAGGAGCAGTGCAGAAGTCTGAAAGGAACCTCTGGTGTGGATGTGAGACAAGCACAGATGAGGATGGGTGAGTCCTGTGCTTTCTATTTCTATCATGTTTTCATGTGGGGAACTTTGACCCTGGTGTGGCTTGGCCCACCTCTGTGAGGTAACTGCAGGCTGCTGGGAGCTCTAATGGAGCACACCGCCTCTGTCCCTTCACAGTAGTGCTTTCTTTTCAAGTGAATTAAGCTTAGATACGCATTTTCTGGTACTGAGAAGTGTTTTGTTTCTGGTTAATAGTGCTGTATTCTTGGGAGACACTGAGGTCCAGGTTTGGGGTTTTTCTGAATTGTCTGCTGAGGCACAAGTGTTCCCTCTGGGCAGCTCCACACAGGCAGCCATTTCTGCAGCTTGAGGGCTCTCAAGTAACTTGCAGGCAAATTCTGTCTCTGTCCAGTCTGCACACAATGTAAATGTCTGTTATGGATACTGCTATGTTTTGCATTAGCTTCAGGAATTCGCTTCTCCTTCCCCCTCCCCCTCACCCCAATTTACACAAAAACGTGCCAAGGGCTGAAGGAAGCAGAGCTGAATCGGCAGTGCCTCAGCTGAGGTGGCTGCAGCTGCCTCACAGAAAGCACGCAGGACTGGAGGCGCTGATGTTGCTTCCTTGTGAATGGTGTCTGTATGTGGTTCAGAGTTTGCAGTGTACATGTCAGCAATGCTGCAAATCTGGGTAGAGATCAAAAGGTTGAATCAAAGGATTCAGAATCTGAATGTTTTGTCCCAATGAATGATAGAGTAGTTGCCATAAATTTGGGGGCTGTGTGTGACCAGCCCTTTGAGCTGAGAAGAGTGACAAAGCTTACACGTTACTGTTGCTCTGTGCAAAACAAATTTAAGCCTTCAAGTCTGGGACGAGTTCTGGGGGGTATTCTCAGTTCTTTTTCAGAATGTTTTCCTTAGTTAACTGCTTGAAAAGACAAATGGATTAATGTATTATGTATATGCATGCTCCCATATCTTGTGCAGTGCATCACCTGGGTGATGGGAGCAGCTCTGTCAGCTGTGCCTGGCACTGAGTGCTGCCTGCAGGTGAGCCCACATGTGCTCCTGCTGTCAGAGCACCTCGGGTGCTGAGAATCTGCATGTGGTTTCAGGATATTTGTTTCCTCCATGCAGCATGCACGTGGGAATGCTGTGAGGTTCATGGATGCTCAGTGCTGGCTCTGAAAGGGGCAATAAATGTACTCGTGTCTGGCTGTTTCCCTTGATGCACATGTGCAGTGCATAGCTGTGGCAAACAGGCTGTCTGGGAGATAACGAACCCAGCCTGCTGACCTGAGGAGTGGGAAAGTCTCACTTGGCAGGTCTGCTGCAGCCCTCCTTTGCAGGAGCTGATTTGAGGTACCTCTGTGTAACATGTCGGACACATGCATGGGTACAGATGCTGGACTTGGCTTCCAGGGGAAAACCACTAATTGCTCATCCCCTCCAGAGTAAGGTCACGTGTCCTGAGCCCAGTGACTCTCACACGTGTCTGTGAATGATGCTCAATATTTAATTTGCACAGTCAGATTCTCCTTCATGTTCAGAGAAACTGATGTCTTTTAGCGCCAGCATTACACAAGGTTGGTGATATTGGAGTGTTACAGGTGACTGAATCCTCAGCAGTGTGAGGATGTGCGTATCACTTGGATCCTAGGGTCTGCTATCAGATGGGCAATGCATCAGTATCTCTTACAAGCAGGAGAGTGCCAAGTTCTCTGTCCTCGTAGTTAACCTTAGCAATATCTTTTGTCCGCTATGAGAACTGCAGCTCAGCAAAGCCACAGTGAGGTGTGTCACTGGTGCATTTGCAGATTTGGGTGCAGAACAGCTGAGGAAAGACAAACGG